GCAGATGTGGATGCCACATTAAGGATGGACCACAATTTTACAATGATTTCTCTGTCTACCCATCCAGCCCCCTTGATGAACAGCAGGGCATACCATGCATAACATTCCTTCTTGTGCCCATTCGCATGCCATATGCTGATTCCAGGGATAATCTGAAGTGATGACAGGATATCAATCAACTCACTTTGACCCACATGCTTCTGCAGATTTGCCTTGTAGGAGCAGTTAATGTCATAGAAGCAAACCACTTGTTTGATCCCTTCCATATTGTATCCCAATGGATTTGCCAAAGAGTAGTCCATGTTCAACTGTCTGCAGTGCCATCAATGGGTGTCAAAAACAATGATTCAACCTCATACCTTTCTGCTTTTTGAAAGTCAACAACACAATGCAGATAAAAGCATCCATGCTGTGCACATGCAGTCACCCCAATTCTGGTTGCATGAAACTTTCCCTGGGCTGCATTTGCCTGACTGATAGCTCTGTGGTTGTTGCAGGTGGATTTCTGTGCCTGAGCTCAGATCATGTTTTGCATGGGTTGAATGAATTCATACCTCCACAATATGTGGAGTGGCCTTCAAATAGTCTGCATAGTGCAGATTGGTCACCATATAACCTAGTCCATCCATCAACCACACTTGATCTTCAGATCTCCACTCATGCATGTGTTCCACTTTAAAGTTTCCATCCATTACTACTGTGCAGGTGAACCACCAGCTGGAGAAGGTCAGCACATGAGGATTGCATTATTGGAGCTGCTTACTGGTCCAAATCCTCATTGGTATCAACATTTATTCCAGGCTGGGGGTGTGCTGCACAAAATAATGCCAGTCCACCTTTCTCTGCTGACCTGGTTGTCCTGCAGAATCCATTCCATTTAAGTAGCTTGAGGTATCACCATTTCTGCACAACCCATAGAAGCTCATGGTATCTATCCTGATTGACCCTTCAGACATTCCAACACTTGGAACCAAAATACCAAATCTTACTGGAATGAGGTATGGAAACACACTGGATGTGATCTGATGCAACTTGCTGTAATAGTTCATACCTGACATTCCACATTCCAGGTTGTCCCTCAGGAAGTCATCCAGAATTGTGAATGTGAATGCAGTGCTTGGCTTCTTGAATGTTGAGGGAAATAGTTTGGCTCTGAGTAACTGTATGAATCAGGTTTCTGCAATCTTGCATTCACACCAATTCACTACAATGAAATGAACACCTGTGACATCCATGACAGTGTGATATCTTGACCCTGCTGGAGGATGGAGGTGCTGTGCTTTGGGTTTTCTTTGATATCTTCCACATCTTCCCACTCTTGATCACTGATGGGCAGAAGTTCACCTGCTGCTTGCTGGGCTCATGCAATCACATAGGGACAGGGTGCTCCACCATGTCCCAGGTGCAACTGAATGCCAGTCTGTGGGTCTTGATGTGAATGTATGTAATTCTGGGCAACCAACTGATCTCTCACCATGTGGAGGATGGATTCCTTGTAGAAGTCCCCTGTCCACTGTTGGATCCTGTGGAAAGGCAGGCTCTCATGACTCTTCTGGCAACATTCTGTGCAGAATAGGGGCTGATGCAAGCAATCCAGACATCTGTATACCCTGTTGTTGCCACACCAGGTGCAGTTCCTTGGCTCTGGGGAGGCTTCAAGCTCCAGGAGTATCTTCAAGAACTCCCCCTTCCACAGAACCCATTTGCAGATGTAATCATTCTGTGTCTGACACACCATGTGAAGTCTGCTTTTGGGTTGGTGAACTGCTGCATACCTTTTTCTGTGGTAACATCAGTTGCTGGACTGGTGGGCTCATGCTTTCATGTCCATCAAAGGCTGAATCCACCTATCAAGATTGCACAACACCCCTGACTTCCTCTTAGGGCAGAGTAGGAGTGGGTTGGGCTGCAGAGTACAGTGGTCAAAGTCTGAAGTGAATCTGACCACTAGGTGATGAGATATTCAATGAACAGTGAGTGGAGGGGTATAGAAGAAAGTTTTAGAGGCAGAGTTCAGAGTCAGAGGTTGGAGGTCAGATGAGAGGGTGTCAGGTTCAGCTAGTGTGCTGCCCCCTTGCAGAAGCTCAGCCCTCATATTTCAGAGGTGGAGTGGACTCAGAGGGAGTGGAGATGAAACTCCAGAGGGAACTGAGAGGGAGTCAAAGGTGGGGACTTTATTCAATATTCATACTGATTACATCAGATTACTATGTGGCCTTATATATGACATAGGTCAAGGGTGGTGCAGTGTAAAATGCAAACCAATAAGCATATAACAGGTTAGCAGTCCTTCTGACACAAGGGATAGAGGGTAGGGATGACAGGGACCTTAACTGAGACAAGGAAACTACTACAATGAGGAAGAGAGGGTAAATACCAAAGGAGTGGAAGAATGGAGAAAAACTGACACAAGGGCAGAACCCTATCTGGAATGCAGGGCTGCAAGTCCACCAGCCCACTGGGCCAACAAGGCCTTGGAGGAGGCACAGATGAAGGTCTGGCCTCCATGTGACCAGCCTGAGGGCAGAGTTGAGTGGAGTTGGTTGGAACATGGACAGGGGACCTTGGAGAGGTGTCAGGAGGGTTGGAGGAGCACAGGAATGCATCGGAAGAGGGCAGAGAAGCATGGGAACATGTCAGAAGAGGGCAGAGTAGGTGTTAGGGGCTTATGTCAGTGTCATGGTCATGACACCACCCATGCATCAAAGTACTTGTGGGAGCAAGACCTTGAATCCTTGGATGGTGAGGATTGGGGAGAATGGACAGGGGTTGTTGGATCTGGCTGTTTGACTGTGACTTCTACCAATCATGATCTATATCTACCTCCAGTTCTCTGAGTCTTGACTTCCAGCTGCTTCACCTGATGGCCCAGGGTAGGACCAATCAAGATGCTCACCAATGCTTACATAATGTATCACATGGTCTACTGAATGATTTTTCAACAAACAAACAATGCCAAACAGTGATTTTGCACCACTAAGCCTCCTTGTTGTAACACAAGTCAAGAAATCACCATTCTGGCTCATTGGGGACATTCCCTCAGGGAAACCTCAGCAAATTCTGGTGTACACTATAGTATAATCAATAGAATATGCTATCAGCACCATTGGTCAATTCAGAAACCTGCTGGCAGTTATCTCCAGCACTGTTTCCCCACCAATGCCCCATATGTCCTGGACCTAATCAGTACTGTGAGAGCTGAGAATGATGGGGAGGTCCAATCTGGCATCCATCCTATCATAAAAAAACCAATCACCCATTAACTAGTGCATTTCTGTGAAGGGGAAACTGGTATGGAGGTCAGGGTGAAGCTAAACCCTCTCTCACTCCAGGTACCATGTTTTATGATAGGATGGATGCCAGATTGGACCTCCACATCATTCTCAGCTCTCACAGTACTGATTAGGTCCAGGACATATGGGGCATTGGTGGGGAAACAGTGCTGGAGATAACTGCCAGCAGGTTTCTGAATTGACCAATGGTGCTGATAGCATATTCTATTGATTATACTATAGTGTACACCAGAATTTGCTGAGGTTTCCCTGAGGGAATGTCCCCAATGAGCCAGAATGGTGATTTCTTGACTTGTGTTACAACAAGGAGGCTTAGTGGTGCAAAATCACTGTTTGGCATTGTTTGTTTGTTGAAAAATCATTCAGTAGACCATGTGATACATTATGTAAGCATTGGTGAGCATCTCACTGTGTTTTATATGTGTTCCCAAGGACTACATCCCCAGCATATCACAGAGTTATGTAATTGTCCCAATGAGCTCTCATTTTCATTTGGGTATTCTGTCATCAGTTTCTATCCAAATATTATGCAATATGGCTCATCAGAGAGCCATGACCAGCTGCTTTGATCCATCCACCAACACCTTGGACTCACTAATGATAGTTCACTCACCACACCATGATTAATGAAAAACATGCAAACATTGGGACAATTTTGTGAGCCACTGTATGTGGATGAATGGCACTAGCACATGTAGCATGTTGGACATGGGCTATGCTCTGGAGTGGGAAACAAGGGGCCTGCTGGTGGCACTGGCCATGCTCTAGTGCAAGATCTGAAGGGGATATATGTGACTGTCAAATAGTCAACCAACCCCCCAACACATCACATGACTCATGTGATATGTTGGTGGCTTCCCTACATGGAAATGTGAGTGACTCCAATAAGAAAGATAGCTTTAGTACTTGCCACCAATGTGTACAGCATGACTCCTACTACTCAATCCTCATGCCTCCCCTTCTGCCAATGATGGAATATTATTGTGACCAAGCCAATATCATGAGCATACACAACATAATCCTCAGACTTGAAAAAACAATGCAAGGTGAGATTGACTTGGGGAAGAAAATGGAGAAGCAGACAAGAGGTGGGCAATAATCAGAAGCCTGACACAAGGTCATTGATTTTGGAGGGGGGGGGGGGAGGGGGGGAGTGACTGAGAAATAATGGTGCACTTTCCTCATAAGGCATTATCTAGTCATACTTTATGTCCATGATTGAGGACCCTGAAACCAGTGGTCACTGTCCTGCTGTAGCATCTACTGAGTTCACAGTACACATTGCATATGTATCAATGACTATAATACACAGTACTTTTGGTGTAAGGATGTAAGAGTTGTTTTTAAGCATGGGAATGAGAGCAATTTGAAAGTGAAGAACAGTGCAAGCAGAGATTAGACAAGTTGAGCCTTCTTGCTGAGGATACCACTGACAGCAACATTCTCCTTCTGTTTCTGAGACTGCATACAGACCTTGGCAGAAGCTTTATCCTTTTCCAGGATGTTGGTAAATGCAGGATGAAATGGAACTTGTGCTTTCTTCTCCTCTGAAGGAGTCAGGACCATAAAGTCATAAACATTGCAGGGAAGGGGGAGTCTGTGCAGCTTTCCAGGATGAAAATATTCTGGGTGCTGATACTCAAGATGGGCCTCCATGTTGTAGCACCAAATCACTGGGTGGGGGTTGGTTTCTCAGCCTGGAGCTTCACACAACTTGCACACAATAGGCACATTGTGACATGGACATGATTCAGACCCTTTGTTGGCACTGGCATACTGAAATGACTCCTTCAAAGGGCACTTTGAATCCCATTGAGTCATTTGTGTGAGTAGCTTGACAGTGATCACACACTCTGGCTCTCCAGTGTGCCCACAGAACCCACATGGCAATGTTCCAGTGATCCAGTTACAACCTGGCTCAAGTACACCACAAGCAACATGAGGAATGTGACCTCCCATGTGTGAGCACAAGTCCTTTGTTGTCTGTTCACAGACTGGGCATTGTGTCCCTATTGCTTTACCCCTTGACACATTCAGCTGCTCAGTCCCACTGACACAAATAAGTATGCTTGTGCCTAGTGTTAGATATATTAGCATGTCTTTTGGAGCATACACAAATATGGACTTACCATTGCTGGCCTTGTAAGGGAAGCTTGGTGATTCTCCACTAAGAGAAGGGAAGTTCATTAAAGGCATGCCTAAGTCAATGATCCTCTTCCACATAGTACTGGTAGTGACCTTGAGGGCATTGTGTGTCAGTGCCTATGTGCTATCTCTGGAATCAATGTGCTTGCAGTTCTTGGGGAGGAGGTATGACAAAGCCTTGACCACAAGTGGGTTTTCCATCTCAACCAAATGACCTGAAACCAAAATAGAAGCAATGCATTTGGTTGTAGTAGCAGTTCCCAGACCCTTCAGTCACATGTAATCCAGAAAGTGGGTCATCCAACATGCACATTTGGTCCTGAAAGTGGGACTAACTGACATTGGCCTATAGACCCTGATGGTGGATAGGCCAACATGTTGGAGAGGGAGGTCAGCTGACCTCAGTGGGGGATGACCTCATGGCCTGGAAGCAGTGTTGGCTGATGTCACTGGGGGATGGACCCACACCCTGGAAGTGGTGTTGGCCAGCATCACTGGGTGATGGACACACACCCTGGAAGTGGCATTGGCTGACATCACTGGGTGATGGACCCACACCCTGGAAGTGGCATTGGCCACCCTCACTTGGGGATGGACTCACACCCTGGAAGTGGTATTGGCTGACCTTACTGGGCAATGGACAGACACCCTGGAAGTGGCATTGGCTGACCTCACTGGGCAATGGACACACACCCTGGAAGTGGCATCAGCCAATGTCACTGGGCAATGGACCCACACCCTGGAAGTGGTGTCAGCCAACCTCACTGGGGGATGGACCCACACCCTGGAGGGGGTGTTGGCTGACATCACTGGGGGATGAGCCCACACCCTGGAAGTAGTGTTGGACTCACACCCTATGTTACCAGAAGTATTGACTCTGATGTCACTTCCAGATGGACATACCCCCTGAGACCAGTGTTGGCCAACCTCACTGGGGGGTGGCCTTTTCCCCTGAATCCATGGCCATTCTTCACCTCCAGGTGATGTCAGTGATCTCACAGGGTTTAAAACTTGCAATGAGCATGGGTAGCCATATATAGGGATCCATTTGATTTACACCATCTATGGTTTATCTATAGACCAAGACCCAGAGCTCTCTTGGTTGGTTGATGAGCTCTAGTTGATTTCTTGCTTGCCTCTTCACCCTCCTTTGCCATCTTCTGATCAACATCCCCACTGCCTCCCCTTTTTCTTTTCCTCAAATCCTTTCTTGTATTCCAAGATTCCTTCATGCCACCCCCCTGGGTGGGACAGGAATCCCCTGCACTGACCCCAGTTGTTTCCTGTGCACCAAGCCCTATGCTTGAGCCACCAGAATTCTGCTGCAGTCTTGCAACTACCAGCCCTACTGCACCCATGACATCTTCCCCCTTGTGGATATCAAGACCCAAGCCTAGCAAAAAGCCCAGATTAGCAGCTTCAGGGTCATCTGATTCTATGTCCTGTGCTCTTTTACACTCCCTCCACAACATACCAAATCCCAGTACAATGGTAAGACCTTTCTGGGTGGATGCAAACTTTTCACTTTGCAATTGATACAGTGCCTTCCAGAAGGAATCCCCATTGCCATGCATCTCCTGGGCAAATACTGGGCACTCCAGGCCCAAGATGCCCAGACAGGCAAGTTGGCTGGTCCAGCATCAGGTTCCAGTACAAAATCTTTGTTAACCTGGTGTTTGAAGGAAGTTTATCACTTACTGTCTCTGGCAAGCCATCTACAAGCTCAACAAGTTCCTGGTACCTGGGCATGATGCAAAGGGACTTTAAATATTTCACCCTGTCCCCATTGGCATGACAAGCAGGGCTGGATTCATGAGGGGTATCTTCAGATGGGGCCCTCCCAGAGTCAAGGATATCCTGGGCCCCTGATGAAGTTGCTATAGGGGTCATACCAGCCCCACCAATTTCTTCCCCTAAATCTGAGGGCTTGGCCTCCACCCCAGCTTCACTGTCCTCCCCAGGGCTCATCCACACTCCAGAGACTCAAGATGGAGGTGGATAATGGCAGTAGAGTCACCAGCCACTTCAGAGGTGGTGGCATGCTCAAACCCCCCAATGACCACAAGAGGGTGTTTCAGGACTGGCTTTCCTGACAAGTAGAAGCCCTGTACTTGGAGTTAGAAGTGATTGGGGTGGCAATATGCACTTACAAAATAGGGCTGAGGACTTTCAAATCTTGTCATTTTCCAATGACAGGCAACACACCTGAAGTTCATCCAGAGTTTGAGTCAATGGAATTAATTCATAAAAGGGAGGTTAACACACCTGAAGGTCACAGGAAGCTGGGTGACCTCTTCAAGGCAATCCTCCAGTACCACAACACACTTGTTACACACTACCCTTCTGCAACCTGCCTGATCACAAGGCCACAATGTCCCTCCATCCCTGCACATCACACAGAACTGCATAGAATGTTAGAAAGATGGATGGAATATAACAAGAGACTTGCCAAGTTCCTCATCCTTCTCTTCTTGGCAACAGGGGCCTTCCTAGCATGGGCCTTGCTTGACTTGGCAGCTTGTTTTTCCCTAGCTTTCAGACCAGCAAGAGATACCCTGGGAGCTCTACCACCAGTGGTCTTCTTAGCTGTCTACTTGGTCTTCACCATCTTAGTCTAGTATGCCAACATTAGTGAGTGGCAGCAACATGTGACACATATGGGAACAGTAGCATATCTTATTATCTTTACAAGACACAAAAGGGGTAGGGGACAAGCAATAAGATAACAATAAATGCATTCAGTTTGTACATATATCATGGAGCAAGGATAGATATCTACATATTTATGGAAAAGACAAGCCAATGTGATCTGATTTATGCAACTACACAGAACACTGGGCACTGGATAAGCAGACCAGAGAGGGGGGATATGTGAGTATCATCTGGGCACCATGAAGTAGAAGTCCAACAACATACCTTATTGGATGAGACACAGCAAGGGAGATGCAGTGTGGCAGGAGGGAGATATGAATTGATAGCCTACCAGTGTTTTGTGAGTGGTGCAGGAACACTGGGAACTGGGACAACATACCTTTTTTTAGGATGAGACATGGCAAGGGGGTGTTTTGTGAGTGATACAGGGATGCTGTGAGCTGGGACAACATACCTTTTTTTTAAGATGAGACACAGCAAGGGGGTGTTTTGTGGACAGGGATGTTTTGTAAGTGGTAGAGGGTTGCTGCAAGCTGGGATGACATACCTTTTCTTAGGATGAGATATGGTGAGGGGGTGTTCTGTAAGTCATACAGGGATGCCAGGAACTGGGATGACATACCTTTTTTTTATTTTGTGAGTCATAGAGGGATGCTGCAAGCTAGGATGACATACCTTTTTTTAGGATGAGACATGGTGAGGGGGTGTTTTGTGGACAAGGCAAGGGGATGTTTTGTGAGTGGTAGAGGGATGCTGCAAGCTGGGATGACATACCTCTTTTTAGGATGAGACACAGCAAGGGGGTGTTCTGTAAGTCATACAGGGACACCAGGAACTGGGACAACATACCTTTTTTTATTTTGTGAGTCAGAGGGATGCTGCAGGCTGAGATGACATACCTTTTTTTAGGATGAGACACAGCAAGGGGGTGTTATGTGAGTGGTAGAGGGATGCTGTGAGCTGGGATGACATACCTTTTTTGTGCATGAGACATGGTGAGGGGGGGTGTTGTGTGAGTGGCACAGGGGTGCTGGGAACTGGGATGACAGACCTTTTTTGTCATGAGACATGGTGAGGGGGTGTTCAGTAAGTCATACAGGGATGCCAGGAACTGGGATGACATACCTTGTTTTAGGATGAGACATGGTGAGGGGGTATTTTGTGAGTGGTAGAGGGACACTGCAAGCTGGGACAACATACCTTTTTTTTGGATGAGACTCAGTGAGATGGGTTTTGTGAATGGTACAGAGACACTGAACAATGTGCAATAGAGACTGAAAACACTGGTAGCATCCTAGTGTGTGATGTGAGTGTTATAAAGATGCTGAGAAGTGCAATGACATACCTTTTTTGTTTTTTTCTGAAGGGAGATGCAGCATTGCAGGGAGGACATACCTATCTTGTGTTTAGACAGGGAGAGGCATGGGAGGTGCTGAGCAAGAGAGTGACAATGACAGCATACCAAAATTTTTCTGGAGATGCAGCAGGGCCAGATGCTGGGACAGCACAAAGGTGGTCTGTGAGGGAGACACTGCATGGCAGGAAGAGAGTAGCAAGAGACCATGTCAATCCAGATACATGGATGCACAGATCTCAATGTTGGGTGGGATTGATGATAATCTTGACACAACCTTGATTGTGACATGAATAATGTCATGGCTGTCACAATTATCACACATGTTTACCTGTACTTTGGATGCATCTCCCTCAGTCAGACATGTTGCAACCCTGAATTAGAATCAGGTTCAGGTTCAAGACTGGAACATTATGTATACTATTTACAGAGTGGTCAGTCAGTGCTGGGCGAATTTCCAGTCTCAATAAATGGTTACATGTAGTAAATGATCCAGTAGTTCTACTGCAATACATTTTCTGTGAAGTCCCAAGGGTACCCACCACTACTGCTCAGCCAATGGCATGAGTGGGTGCTGGCTTGGCTTGACACTGCAATTACAAGAATGTCAAATGGCAATTTAGTATTTAGAATATAGAAGCCAAATACAGTGACAGTGAAGTCACATGACCTTGCTATTTGCTATGTATAGCATGATGAGTGGTAGTATTGACTCAGAGGCATTCGCTGGCACTTGCAGCAACTGAACACATGCTGAGGCCAAGAATGTCCCATGCATAGAAGCTGAACCTTGACAGTGACCTCACTAGTTGAACTGGTGCCAAACAATGGCACATAAGACTCAAGTACATAAATCCCCCCCCACTCATTGCCATGTTTTTTCCCTTACTGTGTTTCTCTGTGATGTGACACTTCCCTCATGGCATTCTTCCTCTCTCTCTTTCCCCCTCTCTCTCCTCTTTCATGCTTTATGTTGTCTTCATCTTCATCTGTACCTCAGCCCCTTGTGATGGCTGTTGGTCAGGTAAGTGTTTCCTTTGATCACATTTTTTTCACACTACTTGATTACTGTTGTAGGGAATGCAAACCTTTTCCCTTTGAGGAGTTGTGCCTCTGTTGTGTCAAATGGAAGGTTTGAGGGTGGAGAGTGTAGGTGAGGGTCAAAGAGGATTTGGACTTAGGGGTTGTGGCCAGAAGAAGTTGGTGCCAAAAGATGGAGAGCTGACTAAGCATGTGGGTAGTTAAGGTGTGTGCCACATCACTTGGGGACTGTGGTACAGCATAGACAAGAATACTGTACTGGGGATCACTGTCTTCTCTGTGTCTTGCTTTGGAGAGCAAAAATCACTACTTCTGCTCCTTTTCATCAAGTTCTTCTTTACAGTCTAGAACATTTCCTCTTGGGCAAGTTCCCTCTTGTTCATCTAAATTACTTATCCTGTATCCAGACCAAAGCCCCTTCAGGGTCAACCCAATCCAAACAGAACCTACCTCTTCTGGAGTCAGAGTTCTTAGCCATCAGAAAACAGTTACTTACACTGTTGCCTTGCAGCATCCCTGTGCCTCCTTACTGAATATAGTCTGCAGCTACAGGATGTAGGGGGGGGCTACCCTCCACCTCATTTTGTGCTTGGCCAGCACAATTCTTGGTTGGGGGGTGATATGTTGGGCCTGGGGGAATAGTCTGTGCCTATTTTTTGTAGGCCACCTGATTTGGGATCTGGGGGCTAGTCTGTACCTACATTGTAGGTCAGCTAATAACATTTTATCTGGTCTGTACCCACTTATGTGGGTCAGCCTATGACATTTTTTCTATGTGTGGTATGTGGTTGTATATATTGGTAGTGGCTAATTTGTGAGAGGGTTCTTCACAGTGAGTATCCACCTTATGTAGAATCTATGTTGTACTGACATCAACCTTGTAGAGCTGTTTATCTTTGTCTCCTGCTGATGATGGCCCTCAGGTATGTGAAACTTGCAAAGTTGTGTTGATGCTAATTTGCTTTTAGGATCTTTGTTATTATCTCTTGTGCACTTTTTGGGAATTTGGTTGAATTGAGGGCATTTTTTATTGGCCCAACTGTACTTCTGGAGGAGGGCCCCCTCTGGAATGCAGGCAAGCCTTGGTTTCTTATGAAACCATTATGCCTTTGTAGTTGAAATTGTAACTGTAGTTGAATTTATGTATGGACTGGTGAAAGTCACTGTTTTGATTGTATTTGAATGCTGTGTGGGAATCTATGCCTCTTGTTTTGAATGAAGCATCTGCTAACCCTAACCCTAGCATAAGACTTAGTGTATTTTTTCATGCAAGTCTGCTTCTAACCCTAACCTTAGCAAAAGACTTGGTGTATGGTTTCATGTCAGTCTGCCTAGCTGGTGGATGGTGCTAGACTAGAACTGGTGTTCCATGGCTGATCTTGTTAAGCAAGGTGTCCCTTTCATACTCAAGACTTGCCAATGGCATTACCAGCAACCCAACATCTTTCCTTCAAATGCTGACTGGATGTGTTCCTAGCTGTTGGATGGTGCTAGATTAGTAATGGTGTTCCATGGTTTCCCTTGATGCTCAATAGATTGCTGACTGGATTGACTTGGAATTCAACTGGTGCTGAGTTTGATTGCACCCACTCCAGACCCCTGCTTACATGACTAGATGTTTCAAGAAACATAGTGTATCTAGTAGACTAAGTTTCTGGATTCTGGATCTTCCCCCAAGTCAAGCAAGGTCCCTAGTGGAGAATAACTTCCAACTTATGTACTGAGTGATTTTTAACTATTTTTCTTCCAACATCCCCCACATCATCATGGAGGATTCCCTGCATACAATGGTGGTTTTAATGCTGAAGGCTGCCTTTGGGACAGCCCCTGTGATCTCTTCCAGCTCTATTTTCTCAAATCACCAGCTCAGGAAGCCAAGGTAAGCCATAAGTATTGATGCTACACTTGCTATGTATGTAGTTAGATAATAGACTCTGAACCTTGGCTGAGTTAACCCAAGTCAGGGCAACATTACAAGGGGAATCTGGTCTAACTTCAGATGCTATTACATCTTTGGAAGTTAGGCTGGCATCCACAGTCATTACACATGCCATCCTCAATCCCTGTAGGTGATGTTCCACAACAATTGCAAGTGAGCCAAGTCTGACCCTTAATAGATGTGTTGGATTGGGATGCAGACAGGTTTTCTGAACCATTGGTGCATGCCAAGGACAGGACAATCCATTTTGAAAACCCAAAAATTGGGTGTATCAATGCTCCTGCCACAGTTCTGGATGTGCATGGCAGGGTGATAGTATGGTATCTGCCTGGTATCATCCCAGATGCAAGGATAGTGAGTGTTTTCATTCTCTGACAACCCTTTGCTACAGCTTTTATATCATAGGAACTTCTCAATTCCCTTCTCCTTTCCATAAAAGACAATCTTCAGACTGAGCCCAAGAACAAGCCAAAAGACAACAGCAAGCTTAACAAACAATATGGCCATAAGTATCAACCTGTTGACCAAGTCATGTATGGACATTGCAGGATTTCCATGTCTCCTGCCACATTCCAACAGGCTCATGAGGTTTGTCCAGGTGCTGTGATTTCCATGGTAGGGGCTGACAAATTTAAAGAGGTTGGTTGATACACTCTACCAAAGCACATCCCTCAAACAGAAAGCCAATAGGGAATGGCCGCTCAAGATTTCTTATGTGGAACACTTCTGGAGCAATGTGGCAAAGGTCTCATTGCCAGGTATGGCCAGGGCTGGTGGTTGAGCAATGTTGGCCAAGGCTGGCAGGGTGGAGAATGAGATATCCCTGGATTGGCCATCAGTCTATACCAACATTGATATTATTGTCAACCAGGAAACTCCCTCTCACCAGGACATCACATTGGCCCCAACTCTTCTGGATCTATTAGTGAGCCTGGGTTCTCACAATGCTAAATTCCTTATTCCAGATCTGGGGGGATGAACTGGCTTATTCCCCAGGCACCATGATTTTCCTATCAGGAAAAATCCTTCAACATTCTGTGCTGAAGTGGGAGAAGGGAGAAAGAATTGCATTGGTTTGTTATATGGAGGACAGAGTTCATGACTGACTCAAGGTCACAAGACCAGCATGGACTACCCAAAAGGAAATTCTTGGGTTGGCTGTCAGTACACTTAAAATGCATTTTAGTGGCAATGTTTGGGTACAAATATTTTAAATACATCTGATAACCTTGTTCTGGACTTGTGTGGTGTTGTTTTGGGGATGAAAATTTTTCAATACGGCTGAAAACCTTGCTTTGACTCTTCCTGTGCTCAATCATGCATCATAGGAGAACCAAAGTCCTTGGAAAAAGCTCTGCAGGAGGTTTGTATAAATTTGAAGTCACTAAAACTTGGAGAGGAAAGGACACCTACAAGGAGGTGGATGCCAGACACCTCCACCTCCCATCTCAGAGTCAACCTTCAACTCCAAGGACCCCCAGGACAATAGGCTCCCAAAATGTTGTCCCAGACTCCTTTGACATGCCTACCTTGGACTGGAATGATGAGGAAGATACCCCAAATACTAGGAGGGTTACCAAGGTGGGAAGTCTTGCCTGATACTGCACTTCCCCTAGAGTCAAAATGATTTCATCAGAGAATGGCTGCCTTGGAGAGCAGAATATCTCAAAGTCATTCTGGAGGGAGAACAGCTGGCTAAGATGCATGTCCTGCATTGGTGTGTATGCCTGGTGTGGTCCTTGTGCTGTGAAAGTGCATCAAAATCTTCCATTCCACAAGGTACAAAGATGGAATGCTACTCATTACCAGGCTACCTCCTTGATGGAACTTGGGTTCCTTTGGCACATTGGCCATGGGGGTCATCCTTGCCCTCAAATCAGACAGAATCAAGATCCAGACTCAGAGGAGTTGGGCTATACTTCTGGGGAAGGGCCTCCCAATTACAGGTCAATGGCAGTCATATCCTGTAGCCTCAATGTTAACCTCTGGTAGCAGGAGATCCTTCAGATCAAAAATGACCATAGTGCACACAGAAGGAATTTTCACTCATGAGATTTCTTGGTGCAGTTGCCCTGGGTCAGATCCAATGGACTGGCACCTTGATTTACTCAGGGAAATACTCTTTCCAGCCAGTATAACAAAGCCCAAAACTGCTTTCACCATTGATGTTCTTAATCACTTTCTCATTGATGCCCTGGAGTGCAAGACTTCAGCTATGATTTTCTATCAGAAGCTGAAGAGGTTCACCAACAATGCACTTCCTGACTGTATACCAGTTGAGTGACATGCACTATTTGCTCTTAGATGGTTCTATTAATGCATTCATTTCCAATTAGGACAGGTACTGAGAGCTGATGAGGATTTCCAGACTGTGGAGGGATTTGAAACATAGGAAATGGTTTGGCTTTGGTCATGATAAAGAACAAGATCCTGGACAAGGAGAACTTGCACTCTTTTGTCCTGCCTGCCCACAACCAGGTATTAATTTACTCCAGATTGGAAAACCTGATATGACAGGTTTGGAGTCATAATCTGTAGGGTTTTGATTTCTAACTCCCCCTCCCCCCTTAGTGATACCATAATGAGGCAATATGTCATGGATGGCAACTTCACTGCTCAGCATATGAAAATGAACAAGCCTGAGTTGGATGTGTCATTATCAGATGGAACTGGTTACATGGTTGCTGAAGAGCCCTACCAGGCCCATCTTGAGCAGTCTTTGGATAACAAGGAGGTGAGTTGTCACAAGGTCATGGAGTTTAAATGACCCACTGTACTGGTAGAGATCCACCTGCAGCAATCACAGGGCAATCAATGCTGCTAATATTAGCAAGCCCAATCTCCAGTCTACTGGAATTTGTGCCACAGCCTGTGCTCAGCATGGTTGCTTTGTTCCCCATTCTGTGGTGGATTGTCAGAAAGGGGAAAAGTGAGTGGACCTGATGGATGTACTGGAAGCCTTTGGAACTCATTTTGTGCCAGGTACATGCACACAGATCACTCCATCTGCTGTGCTCTTGATTATCATTCAGAAAGCATCACAAAGGCCCTTGTCATTTATGATGTTGGGTGCCAGTGGAGTATTAACTTCCAGAGTTGGGTAAAATCTAGCTGCTCTCTCCATCTCCCTCCCTCCCTGGAAATCATTCCTGCTGTGGGGAAGTTTCATCTTGCTGCCCACAAACTCTCTTGCTTTCCAAGATATAGCCTCAACTTTATCAAGGTTGCTGGTCACCTGGATGGTGAAATTTTGGAGACATTGTGGGCTCCATTCAATAAGATCTCTCCCACTGCAAGGTCTATGACTCAGGCCCACAGACAAGAAGTATATGATGACCATATGAGAGATTCTAACTGGAAAAAAGTTGTCAACATGGGTGAGAGGCCTTTTCTTCAAAGAGAAGTTATTTTACCCTGTACATCTCTGCTCCTGCACTGTTGAAAAAATACAAGACCTCACAAAAGTGCCTAGAAGAAATGAATCAGGCATATGAGCAGTTGACAGCTGTTCTAGACCCTGGCCAACTTGCTCAATGGGAGTTGGATGTTCTTGAGGCAGAAGCAAATCAAGGTGATTCCCTAGACATTTATTTGTTGAAAGGGGACAATGGTCAGTATGTTCCTAAGAAACCCTGGGCATGTCTGATGGCCTGTGGCCCCTACCATGGGTGAAGTGCAGTTAAAGCTTGTGAAAAATCCACCTGTGTCCCCAGGGAGCCATGGTTCTGTGGCTTGGCCTGTGGAAGGAATTAGCATAGAGGATGCACAGTATGGTCTGTGGTTCCCAGAAGCAATAGGTTGCTAACCAGACCTGCAGGGCCCAGCTAAGATCTGAGCTTAGACAGAGCCACATGTCTACCAGACAAGAAGTCAAAGTCTTGGAGAAAAGAAAAAGACTTTCTGCCAGGATTGACAAATTCCATGGCACCAGCCAGGCATTTCTCAAAGGTTTGGAGGTGGATGATGTCTTTATACCCCAGGATGATCCAGCATTCCTTGGGCAAGGTGAAGAAATTGATGACAATGGAGAGTACTGGGAAGATGATGAGGATTGGGAGGCTACAGAAGAAGGAGAGGAGCCACCTGCTGAGCTCATGAGTATATGGATGCCCTCATCCATTGGAGCAACTAAACTGATGGAGCTTGGCCTTCATGACCTCCTCAAAGAAGAAATGGAACTCAGGATTGGGCAAGTTAATGATTGTCTAGACCAGCTCTGAATCAACCTTGGACACAAAGCAATGTTACACAGACAGAACTTCCACAGTGCACAATCAACTAGGGAAGGTACAAGAACCAAGCAGGACATCCAAAAAGTGGTGGCCTGGATAAACAAGCAGGTCAGAAGTTATCAAAGGGAAAGGCAGGCCATTCTCCAGTTGGAACCCAATCAAGAGATTGGACAAAAATATCAGGATATTCAGCCCCAGGACCTGGCAGTGAGTAAGGATGTGACAGAGGAGAACCAGTTTGGGCAGGGAACCAGTAAAATGGCATCGTTTTGGATGATGGATGGTGAACAGGGTCAACTGAATGCTGAGAAGGGGGGTTTAATGGAGGAGTGTAAGTGTTAATACTACTCAAAAAAATCTCACCAATGAATTGTGGGGCAGTTTACAGGATCAATTGGCTCAAAGCAAGGGCAAGAAGGGACAGATGGAAAGAAGAATTGTCATTGGTGAAGCATGAGATGGTTTGGGCCATCATGTGGTTTGAGTTCCAGAAGGACATATGGGAGAAAAGGGCTCTACAATTGTTGGAACCAGGGAAAAATGCTTATGCTAATAAGCAGATAGTGTTGTGGACTGACTTTTCCAAAAAGGCCCAATTGATGTTGAAGGTAAACAAATGGATTGTATTTAGAACATGGGTATATGTATATAGTTTTCCAATTACCCTTACTTTGCACTTGGTATCTGAATCAAAGTGAATAGCAAATACATCAAAACAATCATACCATAATGGTACCTTTCCTAAAAGAGTGATGGCCAAAAACTTCAACCTCCTGCCTAAATTGGGAAAGGCTGAAAAATTTCACCTTGCTTCCAACCTCCATCATCTGTGCTGCTAATTATCCCCCTGATTTTATTCCCTCATGGCTGATTGGTCTGCAGTCTACTCTGATCTGCTGTCCTCCTATGTGGAGCAGTACACAGATGCCCAAGGGAATCCTGACCTCAGGGCTCAGATCCTGGCTGATGTGAAATCCCAGATCCTTCAGCAAGCATCATCAGGATCTGTGGAATTGCCCCAGAACTTGAGAGTGGTATGGTATCTTTTTCATCAAGTTTCACATATCTCAAGTGTATTTAGGCCATCAGAAGGGTGTTTTTGCAAGAACTAGACCCTGAAGACAGAGATGATGAGGAACACACCATTGAGAGCATCCTGGCTGCAACAGACAAGAGGAAGGAGCAGCCTGGGACTGGTGAGGATGAGGATGCCAGAGAGGAGAGGATCAGACCTACCAAGGCTGGAAACTACAGAAAACCCTTCACTGATTTTACTGCCTCCCAGCAGCTCTTCAAAGAGGACATGGATGCCTATGATAGGGAGAGGAGGGACACCAAGGACCCCAAGACCATAGGTCAGAGAACCAAAATCATCCAACAGTGGTGGGAGTCTCTTGCAGATGACAAGAAGGCTGAAGCAGGGAGGGCTGCTTCCAAGTGGAATAAGTTGGGTGCTCCAAAAGAAACTCATGAATTGTCAGTGCTGGTCTACTTCAAATGTCTTATACTAATCATGCAATAATTCAGGTACAGGAGAAAAAATTTTCCCAGCATGGCCAGAGACTTTATTGAAACAGTCAGGCAGACCATGGGGTCAAATATAGTGATGTTTCTGGCTCATGAGACTACTGATTCTCAGATCAAGATGGCAGTGTAGGTTCCCCTTTACCTTGTCTATCCAATGCTAATGAAGAAACCTAGCTTTGAAACACAACCCCCTGATGGGAAGAAGGCCTTCTCAGAGTCTTCAGAGCCCACCAAGGATTGGGTTCTAAATGGAGAGCAAATGTTGACCAATTATCTTTTGACTGAAGCTGGTAAGTGATAAACGTTGGTGATCAATGTAATATGTGTACCTAGGTTGATTCCATACTCAGCTGAGGAAGATTTGAATGATGAGAATCACCAGGTGGAGATAGCCCTTGATGATGAAGGAAACCCGGAGGTACCAGCTTGGACTGGTCAGAATCTGAAGGTCCAGCAGAGTTTGGCAAGAATGGTCTTCCAGGCTGCCTATGGTATGTTCTTGATTGTCAAGTGCATCTACAGTTGTTGATGGAACTTGGACACATAGCAAAGTTTACAGGGAAGCCCAAGGCCAAGGTTCCCTGGGGCCTGCTTATCAAGTCCTCTTTGGAGTATCTGAGTTCCAATTCCATCCCAGAAGGATTCATGATGAAGGATCCTTCAAAGTGGACCAAGGCCAACATGCAGATGCTTTGGAATCATTGGAATTCCCAAGAGGAGGAGGATAAGGTGATTGTTTCATTCATCAAGTGCAAAAAGGAGGACAAGCCATTGGGAAGGCCCTGGAACAGGAAAGCCCCATCCAAAAAGAGAGCTTGGCCATACCCCTGTGCATATCCTTTACACCATGTTGCAGGGATATTTCACACAAGACACCTACCACTTCTCACAACTGCCCTTCAACTTTGCCACTGAGGAGTCCAGAGCTGCCTATGACACTGCAGCATCAAAGCTAGCTTCAGGTCTGACTACCTTTGCTAAGGTAGTCATTTTCCTTACTACCCATACTGATGAAGACAGGGGGGATCTGTTCTCTGGAATGGAGAATAAGGTTCCAGTAGCCACAGAGGTCTTTGAGGTAAGTCACCATTGTTTGACTGTCACTCCCATCTGACCAGTTGCAGTTTCTGCAAGGCCTTCTGTTACCCTTCTCCAACATTGTCAAGTGTGGAGATCTCATCTTCTTTGTATGTGGTTCTACTTTAAGGAAGGAGGAGAGCTTCCAAGGACTGAAGGAAGCTGTGCAACAGTAGGTTTTCTTTCAATGTTGGTGGTTATGGCTGACACCATATCGGTTTCAAGCCAAGGTCCATGTTGCTTTTTGATGCTGAGAGACTTCAACTAGTCACCACCATTCCCTTCCTCATGAGTTTCCTTGACTCCACCATTGTTCAAGGCTTCCATGTCCAAAGTGCAGTCAGGTATGCCCTGAATGACTGTGGTATGTTGGGTAGGCACTCCAACATCATCTTGATGTTGTGGCAGGAGAAAGTAGTGGTGGAGAAATTTATCTGGACTGACAAGTTCATCAGGCCTTGGGGACAACAATTGCCTGCCCAGTGCCCTCAGTGTTATAGCATTCAGAAGTGGGAAGCTGGTTGTTCAGGGCAGACTTATTCCTATGAGTGCAAGAATCCTGGCTGTGGGAAGGACACACATGGCACATCTCAGCCTCCCCAAACCTATACTATCTACATATCCAAAGGGGCTACCAAATTGACACAGGGAAAGGGGCAAACATCATCCCAGCTGTTGGAATCTTTGTAAAATACCATACCTTGATACATATGATATGCATGTACTACACTCAAAAATACCTGCTTTGTGTTTTCAGATTTCATATGACATTGAATGTTCAGAATAAAAAGTAATTTCCTGCAGGACAACTCCTCCTTAAGTACTGATACACAACTGAGTAAATTTGTCCATTGTTAATTCCAATACAATGGCCAGGTTGGTAGAGTTAACTTCAATACCACAGGATAAGGATAGGATGTAGGATTTCTCCACAACCATGTAGGTTCAGCCAGCTAACTACCAAGGAAGTAGTGTACTGAGTAATAAGATTGGCTAGCCCCACTAACCTACTATCAATATATTGGTCTTTCTTGCAAAGTGTCTGCCCAACCATAACTCCAGGTCATGGTTCATTCCCCCAGCCATGTCAGCTGGCCCCACTTCCAGGTCATCAATCCATCCCATAGCTGCATCAGCCAACCTCACTTCTAGGACACTAATCTATCCCATAGCTGAATCAGCTGACCCCACTTCCAGGTCACTAATTCATCCCATAGCTGCATCAGCTGGCCCCACTTCCAGGTCACTAATTCACCCCACAGCTGTGTTAGCTGACCCCACTTCCAGGTCACTAATTCATCCCACAGCTGTGTTGGCCAACCCCACTTCCAGGTCACTAATTCATCCCATAGCTGTGTCAGCCAACCCCACTTCCAGGTCACTAATTCATCCCATAGCTGCATTGGCCAACTCACTTCCAGGTCATCAATCCATCCTATAGTCATGTCAACTGACCCCACTTCCAGGGCAGTTGATCCATCATCCTGTGACATAGGCCAACCCCACCTTCACAGTTCAGCCTACCCACCACTGGCCAATGTCAGATAGTCCCAGTTTCAGGACAAAATGTACATGTTGGATGACCCACTTTTAGGACTACAAGTGACTGAATCATGTGTAGTTCTAGGAACAGGTGATGGGATTGATGCAAAACTTCCAGTCCAAATCCACAATAGCTCCAATATATTGTCAAGGGGTTCTGTAGATGCTGGAGCAAGCATCAGGATATCACCTCCAAGTTTGACATTGCCATGAGATGAGGTCAGAGTCACAAGGTTGAGGTTGCCATGCAGTGAATGGTTGTGAGAGATCAAAGTGCAATGTGTGAGGGCAATGACCATGACTTTGGCTTGGGTGCAAATGAGGGTGACAAAGAGGTCCCCAACAACAAACTTGTCACCTTGAAGTAAATTCCCAGACTGCATCCCACTGTTGCTCTTGTTGACAGGAGAAAACCCACATACATGGAGGAGACAGTCATGAGATTTCATGGTAAAATTTGGTGATATGACAACATGGCAGATTGTAGACTTGCAAGCCCATTTCTTCTTGCACCAAAGATAATCATTTGGGTGTATCCCAGGTCCTTTGGATGGATGGTTGGGGGAGGGCATGTCATCATCATTCTGGTCAATGCTCTCATCAAATGCATCTCCACCCAAATGATCACCACCATCCTGCAAATCATCTCCAACAACACCATCCAGTGCCTCTTCCAACAAAATCTCCATGCTATCTTCAACTGCCATAGCTGGCACTTCAATGTCATAATCCACAGTTGTTAGTGATTGCTCATCTGCAGGCCAGGCAGGCATGGTGCATTTGTTGAGCATGGGGCAGGTACAGTGGGCTCATGATTGTCAATATCAATATCATAGTTGACACTTGGATACCTTCCCTCTCCAAACATGCAAAGCAAGTCAATACCAGTGTTGGGTCAGAACAGTAAGTCAAAGTCATAAACATTGGGTGGGAGGTGTGAATCCTTGAGGATCATGAGGGCATTGTGTCACCCCTGAAGCCACACTGTTGGGAGATCACAATGACCTGCAATAATATCACCAACCCAGTGATGACATGTGATGTGATTGATGCTTGCTTTGCATGAGAGGTTGAGATGATGATGGCCATGAGACAGGTCTGGATTGCAAGCATATATCTGTCATATCCATGACCCTCAGACTCAATCCTGGTCCAGTCCAGACCCCTAGTCCCTATCTCCAGTCAAGCCCAGTCCTAGTCCAGCCTAGAAAACCCAACTCCAGTCCTAGATAACCCAACTCCAGCCTGAATAACTCAAGTCTGGTGTTTTACCCCTATCTCTGGTCCATTCTGGCCTCCTGGCCTTGCACTGTTCCACCCTGGTCCTCCCAGGTCCATGTCCAGGTCACTTGGACATAACTCTGGTCTGTTCTCTGATGTTTGTACTATATTTAGTCTAGTCCTTTCATCTGACCTTTGCTTACTGTACAAATCCAGTGTCTGACTCTGGTCATGCTGGTCACCCAGACTTTGGCTATTAGTCTCAGCACAGCCTCTGTGGCTGTCCACCCCTTGGTAATCATCTTCCTAATAGCTTAATAACAAGTCTGGCTTCATGTTCATTACTCCAGACTGGCCTCATGTATTTAACCCCTGTACATACTTTGTAGCACTCCAGTCAGAATATTGACTAAGTATTACCCTCAACTCTGTGTTACCCTGAGTCTACTCAATAGCTAAGGCCAAGCCTTAGTCTATCCCTGACCCCTGTCCCAGACCTCTCCCTGGCTTGCATAAGGGTACAGCACATAAGCTGAGACCAAGGGAGGTAGATCCAACCTCAGACTGGCTTCCCCCTGTGCAGACTCCAAGACTGGTTGGTTTCCCACAGTCCTGGTGTCACACACCAAAGGTGTTTGGTGAGGTGGACATGGATACAGCTGATGAACAGAGATGAAGACCATAGCCCTAATGCAAAGAAGGACAGCCAGAAATGTCAGCACTCATCCCTCACACAAGAACAAGTCATCAGTGCCAGAGAAAAAGAAAGGGAGCAAGTTAAGTGCTGGCTAAAATTCTTAAGTGCCTGTGTATGGCATTCCAGTTTTCGACATATCTCCACCATTTCTGCAGATACAGAGACCATTCCCACACTCACTTGTAGTGCTCAGCCATGCGATCTTACCTTCCAAAATTGGAAAGGATTTGCACACTCCACACATTTCTACAGCACTCCCTCCAAAAGATGCTCATTTTGCTATATTCTTCTGATATGGCTGCCTCTACATCAATCATTTCACTTGTCCCCTTTGCTAGGGACCATGGCTACATATATCTACCAGGAGCTCCTACCAGCTTCTGTCCTGAAGCATCCTGGTACATCCCACCCTCACCTGCACCCTCTCAGCCCATCCAGCTTGGACAGCATGTTCTTTTTGTCAGTATGATCTCTAGGATGATGTTCTTTGGTTGCCTCAGGTCTGTCATTCAGTTGGAAAGGTCTTATGTGGTCGTTTCAGTCTCTCCAGTCCAAGAAGCATATGGATCCTTCCTCCCTGCTCCCTGCAATGTCTTCATACTGGTCTCATCCATCATTCTTCCAAGATTGCAACAGCTACAGTATAATCTACTGTTCTCCACTCTCCCTGATTGCATCCATGATGAGTATAATGCACATCTTGCCTCCTTATTGCAAGATACAGCAGAAGACACTCCCCCTTCATCCTCTCTTCCAACAGAGCCTCATTCATGAAGTTTTTATTTGCTTCCCTGAGAGGATGGTTTGGGGGGGAAGGTTGCAATCCCCTATGCTCCTGTCACCCCACAGACCCCCAAAGCTTGACCCCTGTTGACATCTGACTCACCCTGTCCACTTTTGGATGTACTATATCAGCATCAGATCAGTGCTGCCTCTCTGTCATCCCACCTTGGCCCAGAAGTGATCTCTTTGAGATGTGACATGCACAGCCTCCCCCTAATGTGATTCCAGTGTGCTTTCCCAGTTCCTGACATTACTTGACTCATACTTTGACATTCTGACTGTCTTTGACTCACCTATTGCCAATACTTACCAATCTTTTGACCTTGCTTACTGATTCTTCACTTTTTGGCTTGCTAATCCTTACCAATGCTTACCAATGCTTTCCAAGACGATTACCCATCGCTTACATTCCTTACTCATCAGTTACCAATCACTTACCAAGTGTTTGCACCTTGTTTTCCAAGGGCAACACCCCTGTACTGTACATAAATCACTGTACTTAGATAGCAAAAAAGAGAAGACATCAGAGAGCCCCTCTTGCTTGCATTTTATCATCACTCAGTAATTCATTCAGCAGCTTTGATAGTTGAGACTTTATTAAGGGTCTAACTATCATCTGCTTCACTTATCCTTGTCTATCATCAATATACTTCACTCCAAGCCCTCCCTGAGCTCAGTGCAGCTTAGGACATTGAATTAAGTTGTCATCCATCCTTCTGTAGGCTGACAGCAGTATACCCTATCACATTCTCTCGCATTCCTGCTCCTTCTTCATCAGGAGCACCCCCAACCCTCAGCACTCATCTTTGAGTGTTGTAGCTCGCAAAAACCCTCCCAAAGAACAGGTTCTACTATCTAGGTACTGCATAGGCACACCACCACTTGCTCTTTTTGTCTTTTGTGTTGGTTTTGGTTGGTTTTCACCACTGAACCACACTTTGACTCACACCAGACTTGTTCCCACACTCCTGGCCTTGACTCTGGACCTTCAGACTTGGCCCCTAACCTCCAGCCTTGACTCTGGACCTTCAGGCTTGGCCCCTGACCTCCAGCCTTGACTCTGGTCAACCAGACTTAGCCCCCATCACCCAGCCTTGAAGCCCAGTCACCTGAGGGTAAACCCATACTTGACAGTATATTCTGACTGACACTTGTGCAAGTCACTTCATCATGTCTAGGTCCTGCTCTAGAGCCCCTACCCATGACCTTTCCTGTTGGGACCCATCAGGCTACCTCTCATCTGACTCTGGAGCCCACCCAGAGGCCTCTGCTGAAGCAGAGAGGTAACCAGTGACCCTTGGCACTCTGCACACCCCCAGGTTGCATTACCCCTGGTACTATGTTCCTAGTGGTTGAAACTTAATGCATCCACTCCCTCACTCCTGCCCTACCTGCCACTCATTTCTTCCTGACTCTGGACCAGCTATGTCAACCCCTGGGTTTGACTCACCATCCAGACTCACCACCAACCTGGGTTCACACCTGAGCCCACTTCCAAGTCAGAATTACCCTCCAGACTTGCCCCTGAGGTCAGTCTCAACCACTGGACTCACTTCTGTCAGCTCCCTTGAGCTACCTCTGACCCCTGGCTGGTCACCTTGGTCTTCACCTCAGTCTTTATTTCAGTCATCCCAGCATTCTATACCAGCTGTCTTGGTCCAGTTCTACTGTACCAGGCACTTGTGTCATGTCATTCATTTGACCTCCTGACCCCCCTGATATCAGTCTCCAGAACTCTGTGCACCTTTGGTGCAACCCAGGCCTGGACTTGACCAGTCCTGGTCCTCAACACCTTCCCTGTTCCCCATCAGCACTCAGCTTCAGCAGTTTTTGGGTCCAGTCTCCACCCTCAGCCTCAGCTACACTGGCCTTGGAGCCCCAGACTGCCTTTTTGGCCTCCAGACTGTGTGTTACCAGCCTGTTTGGCCTCGGTTTTGCTTGTCCACACTCACCTGGACTTGCCTGAAACCTGGATGCCACTTCTATCCACCTCCTGCCCTTCATTACTGGCCATTCCAGCCTTGGTCTGGTTTGGCCACCTCACCCAGACCTGTCTGGACCTGTTACTGGGTCTCAGACTGGTCCTGGCCTTCCTCAGCCCCTCCTGGTCCTCACAGACCTGTCCCAGGTCTCCTGTCCCCTGTCCTAGTCCTGCACCAGTCTCCTTGGCCTCAGAATGGTGCCTGTCCTTTGGACTTGCTCTAGGCCTTGGTTCTGGTGGTCTTAGCTAGTGCTTGACACCTCCACTTTGGTCTAGGACCAGTCTGCCAGCCCTCTGGCCCTTAGCCTGGTCCCTGATCTCTCTTCTGGCCTCTCCTTCCACTTGGAGGCACCCCCTGGGCATGCTAGTCCTTTGAACTTGCTCCTGGCCCCTGGTTTTCAGTCTAGGACCAGTCTCCCAGTCCTCCATCCCCTATCCCGGTCCCTGACCTCATTTCCAGTCCTTTCCCATCCTCTGTCTACCCCAGGATCCTAACTGGGTTAACAAGTTGGTAGCTCTGTACTCCAGAAGCCAAAACTGGTAGTCTTGGTTGAGACAAAACAATTAGAGTCTACCCCAGGATCCTAACTGGGTCAACAAGTTGGTACTCTGGTACACCAGAAGCCAAACTGGTGGTCTTGTTAGAGACAAATCAATTAGTGCATCACTCTGGTCCCTTAGCAGTCCTGGCTCATCCTGCCAGTCCCCAGACTTCCCTCAGCCTCAACCTGGCTTTGTAGCCTTGGACTGGACTTGCTAACTCCAGTCCCCCTATTTGTGTCTGGTTTTTTCACCTCTGGACTCCCTTATGACTGGTCTCCCCAGTCCTGGTCTTCCCTCCCTCACTAGGCCTTGTCAACCTTTGTCTGGCCTGTCATCTCTGGACTTCCTTATAGCCCCTGACTTGTTTTGCTGACTCTGGCCTTCCTTCTCTTGTTCAGCATTTCATCTCCAGACTTCCATCTCTGGCCTCCCTTGGCCTCCCTTGGCCTCTGATACCCCTTGGGTAGCTCTGCACTACTCCCCTGTCACTCCTTTGGCCTTTGGGCCTGTCCTCATCCCAGAACTACCCCTGAGCTCTACCTCAGTGCTATGGTCTTGGCCTAGCACCTCTCTCTGGTCCTTGGTGGACTCAGCCTTGGTCCCCTCTTGGTCTCTGACCCCCTGTTTAACTGGCCTTGTCAACCTGTTAGGAAGAGAAGTATCTAGGTTGTAGGGAACTGACTAGCCCACTCAATAGGCACCTGTTGGTGGCTGAGTGTAGTACAGTCACCTATCCCCACCTAATACTAAAGTTTGCTAACCCCCCTGACATCAACCCTGCCTTGGAGCATGAATTTGCTTGCAAGATACCCCAGGCCTTGGCCCATCTGACAAACCCCCAACTCTGCCAGTCTGTTTCCCAGCTCACCCACTCACCCCAGAATTTGTATGTTTGCAAGGCCCCTTTGGGTACCAGCTAATCTCACCTTCCCCCTAACCATCGCCACTGTCACCACACCATTAACTCTGGAACTCTGGTCCTACCATTCTCCTGACTCCAGTCTTACTGGTTGTCTTTCAGCCTCCTTGTCTTCTCTCAGGTTCCTGTTTCTGGTCTTCATACCCCCACTACCAACTCTGACACTCCTTACTACCCCTGTACTAGTCCGGCTTGCTCTTCCAGCTTTGTATCTCTGGTTTTAGAGCTTTTCCCAGCCTTGCAAAAGCTCCCTGGAAGCAGTCTTGACACCTGTTAAGCTGGCCTCTGCATTTCCAGTACTCAGATCTACAACTCTGGTGGTAGGCTCCTACTACCCCATCCAGTACTCCCCTTGATGGTCCTGGCCCATACCTTGTACCCCTGTAGACTTGGGAACTCTACCCTAAGAGGGGGATAAGGGACCTTGCTAGTGACCTGCTCTCTTCCAAACCCCTGTCTGTCACCTCTCTGGTGCCCTTGGCACAACCCCACTTGGTTCTTGCACACCAGTCCCTGGTTCCTTGGCCTGGTTCTTGCATACTGAAACACTCCCAAACCACCTGCCATGGGTTACTCCAAGCCCTTGGTATTGGTGTTGGTGCTCCAGTCTCACTACCCTGGCAGTCCTCAGCCTTAGTGGTTTCATTTCACTGGCCTCCTTTGTCTCAATCTCCTGTTGTCAGCCCTTTGGCTGGGTAACCCCTAGGCCACACCTGGTCTCCAGACCCCCTGAACTGGTCTTCCAATGGCTTTTCTCAGCCCTCAGGCTTTTTGCCACTGGACAACCCACCTCCAACCAACTCTAGACACCCCTAAACCAGACTCAACACCCAGACTCACCTCCTGCTGACACTCCTAGGCCTTCATTGAACTGGTCTCAGGACCTGCTGGTCCCCAGTTCATGCCTGTCTATGTCCAGCCTTTCCAGTTCCTTGTCTGAACCCAACCCTAGCTGTCCTAGACAGCCCCCAAGCCCTCTCCAGCTTCTGGAAGCTCACCTGGCCTGTTTTGTGTGCTTGGCACTTGGCCTTGCCACTCTCAGCCTCAGACTTCCACCTTACTACCCATGGTTACCCTGGTCTCAGTGTTAGCCCACTTGCCTACACTGTTTTGGCCTCCCATTATCAGCCCACCAGCTAGATAGCACCTCAGGTCACCTCCAGCCACCCCAACCCTCCCCAACACCTTTAGACCAGCCCCCAGGTAGCCCCTCTGGCCCTGACTGACTTCAGGCCAGTCCCCTGTTCGCCTTTCCAGCCTCACAGCCCTGTCCAACTCCAGACCAGTCTCCAGCTGGCCCTTCCAGTCCTCTCTGGCTCCCAACCTGCCCCCAGCTGTCCTGCTCTGGCTGCTCTCAGTCTTGGCCTCCAACTTTGGCTGCCCCAGGCATTGGGCTTCAGTTTCAGCCATCCTCAGTCTCAGGCTTTGGCTCTGACCCCTGTCTTCGGTCTCATTGTTTCCCCCAGCACACCTGTGATCAGACAGCATGTGCTTCAGCACAACTGGCTTCAGCCACCCTTAGTCTCAGCCTCTGGCTTTGGCCACCCCAGGCCTCAGCCTTCAGCTTCAGCCATCCTCAGTCTCAGCCTTTGGCTTTGACCCCTGTCTTCAGTCTCACTGTTCCCCTGGCTCTGGCCACCCCAGGCCTTGGCCTTTGGCTTCAACCACCCTTGGCCTTGGTCTTTGGCCTCAGCCACTCTCGGTCTCAGCCTTTGGGTTGACCCCACCCTTTGGTTTCCTGTTCCTTGTTATATGTCTTCTCTGTTTTCTGTTATCTTTCCTCTTTTCTGTAGATACACACTTTCAGACCCTGTGACCCCCTGGAGCAGACCTTGGACCCATTCCAGCCTGCTTGGCACTCCTCATGACCCTCCATACCCCTGCAGCTCACTTCTGGCCAAACCAATACTCCCAGACCAGTCCCCTAGCCTTTCCTGCACCCACCTGGCCTTTGTGTTGCTCCAGCATTGCTCAGAAGCACACTGGTACACCCCTGAAACATCTTTTGGTCATCTCTGGACCTCTCTGGACCCTCTCAGCCTCCATGTTGCCCTGAACTGGCTTTGAAGCACACCTCCAGTCCTAGTGACCCACCCCTGGTACATTTGTTGGACATTACTGGTCCCCTGTACATCTTCAGCCTCCAGCTTTCCCTGACCTGACTCTGAAGCACACCCCTAGGCCTTACCTGGTCATTCCTGGCCTGCATGTTGCCTTGACCCAGCTCCAAGGTGCAACTCCAGCCTCCTGAAACACTGGCTTCAGCTTTCACTGTCTCCAGAAACCCCTGCCCAGCTTGTCCAATCACTCCCAGACTCAGCTTTGCCTTGTCCCAGCCTGCTGAACCACCTGGCAGCATCCTAGGCCAGTCTCCAGCCCTCCTTGTTGTCGCTTCTCTGGCCTTGGGTTCCCAGAACATTCCTTGGTCTTGACCCTTGCCCCCAAACCCAGCTTATGCCATTCCAGTCCAAACTACTGGACCTCCAGTCATCACTGGCCTGTTTTCCAGCCCTCAGGCTCACCCTTGGCACTGTGTGTGCACTCAGACTCACTCATAGTCATGCAACCTCACTGCATAACCCTCTAAGCATATTTCCCTATGGAACCTCAAGGGTTCACTGAAAAAATCCATACTTGAAGTTTAGATCCATTTCTACACATTTGTTCAGGTTTGAAGTTGGAGCAGATGTCTAATCATTGTGTAAACAATTAGTATGGTTGAATAGCAGATGTTGTCCAAGATTGGAAGTTATGTCAACATGTGCAGTGTGGGGTGAAACTTTAAATTTTGTCCTAATTTGCATAACTGACAATACATGAAGTACTGCCAAAATTCCAGTAACAAATTTTACTTCAAGTCTAGAATTAGTGTTCCTACATGTGTCTACTGACAAAAACTAAGTAGAAAATAACTCAACCACTGCCTGAGTATGGGCAAGATGACTTAGATTGTTCACCTAAGTAGAAAATAACTAACATACAATTAGTAAAGTGTAAACAAATACAAGGGATGACTATATGTCAGCCACTGCCTGAGTATGGGCAAGACAACTGAGGGTTTTGTAAGTGAGAGAAGCAAAGTATATATATGTGAAAATGAGCTCATAAGAACAAGGGACAAGGGGTAAGAAAAGATACTAGCAGTGATACATAACCTGTCAAAAATAGAAGTGCAGGAAAAAGGCCAGTTCATCTAAGGTTTGTCTGCTGGCCACTTATGTAACCTTGTCACTTGTTGACACTCCCACTCAAGCAAAATTGAAGTCTCATAGCCTTGATGAACTTCCAATGTTGTTCATGAATAAGAGCCTTGGTCATGATGTCAGCTACCATGTCTCTGGTTGGGACATACCAAACAGCAGCTTCCTTATTTGCTACAAGATCATCCTGTACATGATGGTATTTCTGCTGTATATGCTTAGTCTGGGCCCAGAACTGTGGGTCCCAGCACAGGATGATGGCAGCCTGGTTTTCACAAAGGAGTTCAGTGGGTTGTGGTTGCCAATGTCCAGTTTCATCAAAGAAACCTTGCAACCACTGGAGGTGCTGGCCAGCAATGTTGAGTCCAATGTACTCTGACTCTGTACTTGACAGAGCAACCAATGACTGCTGCTTGCTAGCCCAGGAAATGGCTCCATTGTTTGAGATGAACACATAGCCAGATGTGGACCAGGAGGTGTCTGGGTCTCCAGACCAGTCAGCATCAGTGTAGCTGTGGAAGTCCATGTCCATGGAGATGTCTGAGCCATCATAGACTAACTCTAAGTCCTTTGTGGCTTGCATGTAGCATAGGACCCTCTTTGCCATTTCCCAGTGTGTCTCAGTGGGTGCCACACTGAAATGGCTGAGTACTCCAACTGGGAATGCAAGGTCTGGCCATGTTCTGAGCATGGAATACATCAGTGAGCCTATGACAGTTAGGTAAGACACATGCTGGCCTTTGATGGTTATCTCTGGGACTGGTGGTCCATCCTCTGGTGTGGCCACAGTCAGTTTTAGGTTATGTTGCAGTGGGGTGTACACTGGTTTGCAGTTTTTCATGCCAGTGCATTCTAACACAGTCTGGATGTACTGTGACTAGGATAGTGCAATGGTCTGGTTTTGCTGGTTACATTGGAGTTCAATCCCTAGGATGTACTTGGCCTCTCCAAGGTCCCTCATCTTGAAAGATGATGCTAGAGTGGATTTTACCTCATTCATGAACTTCTGGGAACTTGCAGCCAAGAGTAGGTCATCCACATAGACCACCAAGAAACAAACCTGTTGGCCCTTTTGGAGAACATACAGGCAGGTCTCAGCATCCAGCCAGGTGAAGCCAACTTCACCAAGTTTACAGTCAAGGGTTTTGTTCCAAGTCCAGCCAGCCTGCTCAAGCCCATAGAGGGAGTGCTTGAGCTGCCAGCAGTAACCTGGTTGTATTGGGACTCCAGATGGTGGGGACATGTATAATTCCTCCTCCAACTCACCATTTAGGTAGGCAGTGGAAACATCCATTTGGTCCAACTCCAGGTTATGCTTTGCTGCCAGTGCAACAATGATCCTTACAGACTCTAGGTTTGCTACAGGGGCAAAAGCCTCCTGGTAGTCTACACCCTCTCATTGGGTGAAGCCATGGGCAACTATTTGGAGTTTGTACCACTCTATCTTGCCTGCTTGATCATGCTTGATCTGGAAAACTGGCTTTGAGGTGATTGGGGTAACTCCAGCTGGGACTGGGACTATCTCATATACATGGTTGGAATTTAGGGAAAGTAATTCTTCTTCAAGGGCTGATCTCCAGAGGTGGCTATCTGGTTGAGAGAAGGCTTCATTGAGAGTCTGAGGGAGATCATCATATGATGGATTGGTGTCACATACCAAAGGTGTTGGTGAGGTGGACATGGATGCAACTGATGAATGGAGATGAAGACCATAGCCCTCATGTGAAGAAGGACAGCCAGAAATGTTGGAAGTCATCCCTCACACAAGAATGAGTTGTCAATGCCAAAGAAAAAGGAAGGAAGTGAGTTAAGCACCAGTAAAGGTTCTTAAGCACCCATGTACAGCATTCTTGTTTTCAACATATCTCCACCAATTCTGCAGATACTGACACCATTCCCACACTCACTTGTAGTGCTCAGCCATGCAATCCTATCTTCCAAAATTGGAAAGGATTTGCACACTCCACACATTTCTACAGCACTCCCTCCAAAAGACACTCATTTCACTAATTCTTCTGATATGGCCACCTCCATGTCGATCATTTCACTTGACCCCTTTGTTAGGGACCATGGCTACATATATCTACCAGGAGTTCCTACTAGCTTCCATCCTGAAGTGTCCTGGTACATCCTATCATCATCTGCCTCCTCTCAGCCCATCCAGCTTGGACAGCATGTTTTTTTTGTCAGTATGACCTCTAGGAGGATGTTCTTTGGTTGCCTCAGGTCTGTCATTCACTTGGAAAGGTCTCATGTGGTCATTTCAGTCTCTCCAGTCCAAGAAGCATATGGATCCTTCCTCCCTGCTCCCTGCAATGTCTTCATACCAGTCTTGTCCATCATTCTTCCAAAATTGCAACAGCTACAGTATCATCTACTGTTCTCCACTCTCCCTGATTGCATCCATGATGAGTATAATGCACATCTTGCCTCCTTATTGCAAGATACAGCAGAAGACACTCCCCCTTCATCCTCTCTTCCAACAGAGCCTCATTCATGAAGTTTTTATTTGCTTCCCTGAGAGGACAGTTAGGGGTGGAATGTTGCAATCCCCTATGCTCCTGTCACCCCACAGACCCCCAAAGCTTGACCCCTGTTGACATCTGACTCACCCTGTCCACTTTTGGATGTACTATATCAGCATCAGATCAGTGCTGCCTCTCTGTCATCCCACCTTGGCCCAGAAGTGATCTCTTTGAGATGTGACATGCACAGCCTCCCCCTAATGTGATTCCAGTGTGCTTTCCCAGTTCCTGACATTACTTGACTCATACTTTGACATTCTGACTGTCTTTGACTCACCTATTGCCAATACTTACCAATCTTTTGACCTTGCTTACTGATTCTTCACCTTTTGGCTTACTTATCCTTACCAATGCTCACCAATGCTTTCTAAGATGATTACCCACTGCTTACATTCCTTACTCATCAGTTACCAATCACTTACCAAGTATTTGCACCTTGTTTTCCATAGGCAATGCCCCTGTACTGTACATAAATCACTGTACTTAGATAGCTGAATAAGAAGAAGATGTCATAGAGCCCCTCTTGCTCACAGTTTATCATCACTCAGTAATTCATTCATCAGCTTCAATAGTTGAGACTTTAATAAGGGTCTAACTATTGTCTACTTTGCTTATTATCACCTATCATCAATCTACTTTGCTCCAAGTCCTCCCTGAGCTCAGTGAAGCTCAGAGCATTGAATTAAGTTGCCATCCATCCTTCTGTAGGCTGACAGCAGTCTACCCTATCACAATCTCTTGCATTCCTGCTCCTTCTTTGTCAGGAGCACCCCCAACCCTCAGCACTCATCTTTGAGTGTTGTAGCTTGCAAAAACCCTCCCAAATCAAAGGTTCTACCATCTAGGTACCACATAGGCACACCACCACTTGCTTTTATTGTCTTTTGTGTTGGTTTTGGTTGGTTTCCATCACTGATCCACACTTTGACTCACACCAGGTATTTATTGACTTCAGCAGCCAAGGAACCATATGTATGTAGCTTGTGAATTCTACAAATACCCTCAAAGAAGCCTCATTGAAGGCTGTGGTGAAGAAGAAGAAAAAGCCATTGCTTTCTACTGGTCACAAGAAGAAGAGGTTAGCCTTTGCTCTTAAGTATTAGCATTGGACTGTGGAGGACTGGAAGAGAGTTATATGGTCAGATGAGACCAAAATCAAAAGGATTGGGTCAGATGGACAAGAGTATGTGTGGAAAAAGAAGGGTGAAGGGCTTATTTCCAGAGAGGTCAAAGGTACAGTCAAGTTTGGAGGAGGTTCACTCATGGTTTGGGGATGTATAGGGCAGAATGGTGTTGGGGTCTTGAGTGAGGTTGAGGGATGGATGGATGCTGAACAATATGTGGCCATTTTGTAGGAAGGGTTGCTTCAAAGCATGGAGGAATCTGGAATTCCAGAAAATGACATTATCTTCCAACAAGATAATGACCCCAAGCATACCTCTAGAAGAGCCCAGAAATGGTTTGAAGAGCAGGATATCAAGTTTCTAGACTGGCCTGCACAATCTCCAGACCTCAACCCAATTGAACACACTTGGAATCACCTCAAAAGATCTCTCTCAGGTTATGAGAGTGCTCCTACAGGAGTTCATCAATTATGGGAAAGGGTGGTAGTGGAATGGGGGAAGATTTCTTTGGAAGAGTGTCAAAAATGGATGGAAAGCATGCCTAGAAGGGTTGAAGCAGTTATCAGGGCCAAAGGAGCTCATACCAAGTACTAGATAGTTGGATTTTTATAAAGTCAAAAAGCTGTCTGTATGACATGTCATATTCAAATGGTTGCTATTCTATCAATTCCTATCCAAATCACTTAATTCTTGGACCCATAGAAAGCCAAGAGTAAGTACTTTATTTCATACATTCATGGTTTAGGGCTAGGGTTAGGGGTTATTGTGTTTAGTCATAACTAGTGTAAAACATGCAAACATGCAGACAGTTTTTGAGCCACTGTAATTCCAAGGCAAATGGATGTCTCTGCCAAGATCTGATTTGGATAGCTGAAATGACCACATAAGACCTCTCTAACCATGTGACAGACCTGAGGTGACCAAAGAATGTCCTTCTGGAATTCATACTGACAAGGAGAACATGCTGACCAAGCTGCATAGGATGGGACAGGGCTGACAACAATGGAATGAACCAGGGGGCTTCAGGGTGGAAGCCAGTGGGAACACCTGGCAGATATACATAGCCACTGTCTCTGGCAAAGGATTCAAGTAAGATGATTGACAAAGAGGTGGCCATATCTGATGGCCTTAGTGAAATGAGCATCTGATGGATGGTGTGCTGTAGAAATGTGTAGGGTGTGAGGATCCTTTCCAAACTCAGAAGGCAGGATCATGTGGCTGAGCACTTTAAGCAAGTGTGAGAACAGAGCCAATATCTTTGGCAATGGTGGAGATATGGTGAAAACTGGCATGCCATACATGGGCACTGAAAACTTTTGATGTGTGCTTAACTCACTTCCTCTTTTCTCTCTAGCACTGATGACTCATTCTTGTGTGAAGGATGACTGCTCACATCCAGCAGTCCTTCTACACATGAGGGCTTTAGTCTTTATCTGCATGGCATGGCATGTAACTTGTCAATGAGTTAGGCAGAGTCAGCTGCAACCATGTCCACAACACCTTTGGTGCATGATAGCATGGGCATTGGCATGCAAGGATGGCTGGGTAATATCATCACCAAATGCAGATTATGTCCCTGACCCACACATTTTCAATGACCAGGACCTTCAATTCCAAGCTGATGGTCAGTTTGGGCTGGTCAACTGCTTTCAATGGCCTCAAACATATGAGAAGGAATATGAATATTCAATGTGTGTTCCCTGAAAGGATGTGCTCCCCACTCTTGGTATTGTGTGGGACACTCTTACTCCCAGTGACTTCATTGTTCCAACTGGCTCTGGATTCACAGTAGGCACCCTTCAAGAGGGGAAAGTCAAGGATTTTGAGGATGGACTTCAAGCCTTGTGAAACCACTATCACAAGCTCTGAGATTAACCCATCAGACAGGAAGTCATGTGTATCCAGGTCTGCTTGGCTCAGCACCAGGTGATGCACTTGTGGCACCACCCCCTCCTATATTGTGATCTCATCATTTTTGTTGGCCAGCTGCAGTGTACATTACTTGACATTCATGCCATCCTTGACTTCATCAAAATTCTTCATCCACTTCTCCTAAACCCACCCTTGCATCTTGTGCACATCAATCTGATCTGGATGGGGTGCTTCACAAAAGATACCCAAGTATGCAAGTCACAATACTTTGCCAGGGTACCCATTTGGTAGTATTGCAGGGAAGCATTCATCCCTCCAACCATGAACATTGTCCAACCAGTGTGGCTCACATACACTGACCATATTGTTAAGCCATGTATACAGAAAATGGGGTAGCTAAGCCATTTCAAATTCTCCATTGTGGCCCAGGCAATTCCCTCCACCACTTCCAAACTCACCATAGCTATAAGGCTCCTTCACAGAAGAGCCAGAGTCCACACCTGCCCTACCCACTGCCACATATCCATCCTCATCAAACACATCCTCAAGTACTGGCAGGCAGTCCACCATGACGCAGACCAGAACTGCAAGACAAGTTGTCAATGGCAGCCCTTCTAGAGGAGTGTAGCCATTTGTATTTTGCTTGTCTCATTGCTAACCAAGTGGTAGTGTAGCCCCCCCAATGATCAACAGGTGGACAGGGAAGATGGGATGAGCCCAACCATCCTGAAATTCCACAGGCACACAGCCTGTTCAAGTCAGCTGATTGGCTGAAGTGGAAAAATGCCATAAATGCAGAATTAAAGAGCCTAGAGGAAGCACACACCTGGGATGTCATTGAGCACCCAAAAGGTGCAAACATTGTAGGATGCAAATGGGTTTTTAAGATCAAATGCAATGCTGCAGGAGAAATCAAGAAGTACAAGGCCTGCCTAGTCACCAAGGGATACTCCCAGATACAGGGTGTCAACTACAACAAAACCTATGCTCCCATTGCAAGATTCACATCACTAGGCACTATACTTGCAATCACTGCATGCAATGACTGGGACATTGATGTCTTTGATTTTCACTTGGCATTCCTAAATGGCAAACTCAGAGATGGTGAAGACTGTACATGGAGCTCCCTGAGAGCTATGCTGTAGGGCAGAATTTTTCCTGCCCAGTTTGGAAGCTAAATGTCACACTACATGGTGCAAAACAAGGCACACTCTGGTGGTACCAGAAGCTATGTGCTACCCTTGTAGGTCTTTGACTTATTAGAGCACATGTGGACCAGGGAGTATTTTATGGTTGCATTGGATCAGAAATCCTTATTCTCACCAGCCATGTTGATGACTGCACTGTAACAGGCAGTTCACCATTGTTAATCTGCTCATTCAAACAGGAGATTAGCATTCATTTTAAAATCTCTGACCTAGGGCCCATCAGTTGGCTACTTGGGATGAAGGTGACACAGAATAGAGAAGCCTGCACCATATCATTGTCCCAGCAGTCCTACATTGAGGCAACTCTGATGAAATACAACCTCACTGACTGCAAGCCTTCCACAATCCCAATGGACCTTGGAATAAAACTCACTCTCTTGTGGGGAAATTCTACAGTCAGCTGAAGAAGCTGCACACATGAAAAACATACCCTACTGTGCTGCTGTAGGCTCCCTCATGCACCTTGCTGTTGGAATGCACCCAGACATTGCATTCACTGTCTCCACAGTTGTGCAATTCAATACCCAACATGACTCACTGGGAAGCCATAAAATGAATCTACAGGCATATCTCAGGCACAAAAGTGCTCACATTGACATTTGGAAATACAGAACAAGGCCTTGAGGGCTATACTGATGCAGATGGAGCTTTGCAGGAGCATTGACAGGCTATCAGTGGATATGTATATCTACTAGATGGAGGAGCTATCAGCTGGGCTTTGCAGAAACAACTCATCACACTCTCCACTGCAGAAGCAGAGTACATCACAGCAACTCACACAGCCAAAGAGGGCTTATGGCTTCAACAATTCATCAGGGAAGTTTTCCACCCACTCAAATATGCTACCATGCTTGCACAAAGCACATTGACATACAATACCATTTCATTCATTTTGCTGTGGAAAATCATTCTTTTCACCTTATTTATTGTCCTACTGAGGACATGGTTGCTGATACCCTTTACTGAGCATCAAGGTGAAACATTTTGCATCCCCACTTGGACTTCATTCTGTTTGAGGGGGAGTGTCAAGAATGTGTTCTGGAATTATGGTAGTGTCTCAGAATTTTGCCCAGAGGGCTCAGAATTTCTCCCTGACCTTCAGAATTAAATTCTGACATCACTCTGCTTATTAATTACAGTACTATAAATTTTCTGCACCATTATTTTCCACCTCAGTGACTACTTCATGCACTGAGGTGAGCATAGTTATATTTCCACTTGTTTACTTGGTACTGATGTAGCATAAAACTCATACCTTCATTAGGTACTAATATAGTGACTACCTTGTGCACTGAGAACTCACACCTTGGTTAACATGGGCCATTTTATAGGTTAGGGAACAGGCAAAATGTATGTCAGAGTACTCATACAGGTAAAGTAGGATCAAGAAGCAAATGAGAAGATAAGTAAGACTGTCATAGAGAATTCACTGTCTGAACATATGGTCAACAGTGTCAGACCAAACCCTTACATTCAAGCACTGCTTCTGAACATCCAGATGCATTTTTGTTTGCATCCACAGCAGTTTTCTTTTAATAGAAAAAATAGGTCCCTAGGACTGTGTCTACTGCAACTGATTGTGTAAATGCTGCCTGGCCTAATCCAGAATGAGCCAAACCCACACTGCATGCAACAGTATTCATCTTATTTCCTATGTTTAGGTCCATTTAGATCTCAGGTGTGGCCGTGTAGTCTAACACACATCCATACACCTCGCGTGCAACTCGTCTCCATGTTTCCCTACACACTGCATACTCCTCCGCATACACCACCTCCAAATGATGGAGCCTTTTTCCAATGATAACCAGGCTATGCAACGGCTCTCCGAAACTCTCCGGGGGTTGCTCACTAAGTTGCTCGAGCGTCCCGCACACGATGCGCTGCCGCGTATTATCGGGACCAGCATCATCACAGCCAACGCGCGAAAGTGCGATGGCAAGGGTTGTCTTTGGTGAGAGAACATTTTCGGCGCGGAGAGATTCGATCTCTAGGAGTTGTGATACGGCTTGGGGAATGGACATGTACCGAGGCGGTTCGTATATCTTCCTTCCTCTTTATTATTATTATTATCTCTCCTGTCATTCCTATTTTTCCAAGCCAAGAACACACGTAACGTACCGTGCAAGATTTTCCTCGCTCTGTTCTTTCACTTTAATATCCAGCAACACGAGCGTATGCAATCCCAACCCCATATTCTCGCGTATGCGATCGTAAAACGAATCGGGTTTCCAGGTGTCGGTGAAAAATACGAGAGAGACCGCCTGTCCGAAGTTGTATAGTTGGAGCCCGCATGCACCGACGGCGTTCATGATCGATGCGTTGTGGATCACGCGAACGGGGATGCCAGATGAGCGTGCGCGAAGGACGATGTCGACGTGGGTCGTTGCGCTGGTTGTGGGGCGTAGTTTAGATAGACAGATGGACAGAGATGAGGAGACGCAGGACGTTACCCAAAAGGATCGCCGACGACGAGTAGTGATACGTCGTGTTTATCTGCCCCTTTCAAGATTTCCTCTGCCTGTGTCTCGACCATGTCGCGGTCGGCGATGATGACTTCTTTTCCATAGAACGATTCCTTTCATACCTTGTAGTTAGTGTGGTCATTCCAGATTCATGCACATTGTTGTTGGACGGTACACTCACCAGACGTTCCTTGTTGACCAAGAGGATGCTTGTATATGCTTCCAGATATACCCGCGACGACGATTTCACTGCCTGATACAGGTCCCATCAGGGCTATTCAGCAGTGATAATGCGACCTTTCCAGCGTACCTCCAGTCCACGCACGGTGATGTCTTTTTCATCGCAGAGACCAAGCCCAATGATGTACAGCATCGTCGTAGTCGGACAGTCAAAGATAACTCAAATCTCTTGATAGACTCGACTAATAATCCAATCGCATCGCATTATCCTTATAGTAGTGGTACATATGATCATACAACATACACGTTCTCCTTCTGTAATTGATATCCCTCCAATCGCTTGAAATACTCCAGCCGATCACGTCGTTCCTGTTCATATCTCTGCTACAACATCAGCATCGACATACCTTAGAAAAGTGAAGACAAGTTTCCCACCTCGCGTGAATCATCTGACATTCCAAGTACATCCCCCAACGGTCTTGACTTCCTCTTCCCCTTGGTATCTTTATTGCTCTTTGCACCGACCGTCTTACCCCGACCGCGCCCACGGGTGGTGGTGCCCTCTTTAGTCTTCACGGTACTCCTCGTCACCTTGGCAGGTTTCACTTGTTTAGCAGGCACTGCCGTGTTTGCTCGAGAATCAGAGCGCGTGGTCGGTCTCGCAACAGGAGACTTAGACTTCGTCTCTGCATTCGATGTCGCGGATCTCAGCCGCGTTCGCATCCTCCCAATGCCACCACTACCTCGTTCAGTCTCACTGCGATCTCGTGCTGGATGGTTGGCTGCTGCGGCCTGCCGCGCACTCCGCCGTCGCGGGCGGACAGGGGTAGCCGTGTGTGATGACGGCAATGATTCGACGGTGTTCTGATGATGAACAGATGGTGTCGAAGATGGTGTAGGTATGCAATTGCGTGCCTTTGTCTTGACACGCTTGGAAGCCGGTGCCACTTTGTGGCTGTCCTTTCCGATCGGCTGCTTACCTCGAGCTTTGGCAGTCTGAGCTCGCGTATGCTTCCGCACAGGGGTAGCATTCTGCGCCATTGTCCGAGTTTGCACTGGTCCACTTATACGAGGCCCGCTCGTAGAAACAATGGACACCTTGACAGGTGATGGACTAGAAGGTTGACTACCACCTGCTGAACTCTCTTCTGGCGTCAGAGACGCGACCCTTTTGCGCTTGCGCGGTGTGCGCAGTGGGTCTGGGAATGTAGTCTGAGAGTGTGTGGTGCGGGGCTCTGGCATTGGTTCATGAACACTCTGCTGGCCCAACAATGGCGCAGCAGGTATGAGTGGACAAGACGACGGCCCTGCGACGGGTTCGTCGAGATACAAGTCGTCGATATCTTCATAATTGGTGGGTATGGGCTCTTCTGGCCGCGCAGAAGATGACCGTACGGGTGCGGTGGGGGTATCAGATAAGATATCCGTGTTGCGCGGAGGTGACTTCACGGCGCGTATGCCCGCCCTCGATGTGGGTTTGCGTACAGGTGGAGGGGCTGCAGCACGCTGTGCCTTGAGCACGCGCTCGATGGCAAGAAACCCAAATGGGTCTGAATCGGATGGGCGAACGGGAGTGCTTGTGAGTTCATATTCATATCGGGCACTGGAATTATGACCGTGGGCTCGTCCGTTATCAGACGTAGGCAGGGGTGAGCTGGGCGGGAGAGAAGACGACGGTAGAGTGGGATGTATCCAGTTGGGTGGGTCTGCTGGGTACGCGGGTGGCTTTGGTTTCTTTGGTCTCCGTGGTGGTTCTAGTGTGCTCTGCGCAGGTCTTTTGAGCGTGTTCTTTGATATGCGAACGGGCGACGGTGTGGGTGGGAAGAAGAACTGGTCTGTTATGTCGCGAAGGACCAAATCCTCTGAGATGTGGTGTGACATTGGCGTACGCAGCAACGACGAACGCGGTGCAAAGGACAGCGCAGGCAGGGGCCTCGCATCTTCGTCAATGTTGATGATGGGCGTGTTCTCGTCGTTTTCTATCTCATCGTCTGACAAATTCACGATGGACTCGTTCTCATCCTCAACAGGTTCTGTGGCTTGCACTACCTCCTCCTCCTCCTCCTCTTCCTCGTCGCGGGACCGGGTTCGTCGTTGTACATTGCGAGTGCGGGGTACGCGTGCCCTCGGCATGGTGGGTGGGGTGGACAATGCGTGGGAAAATGATATCTCTGAGTTTGGGTTTATTTGGCGGCCCGTGACTCCAACGCTTTACTTGGTTTCCACTGTGCCAGGCTTCTAACAACTCTAGTTGGATTTTGCAAGAGCTGCACTAACATTGTATGCTGACGTGACACAGACTCTAGCTGGCGCAGAAGGTGTGTATTACGAAGCTTTCGATGATAGGTAATCGATAAGCAGTCTCCGGTGGGCTGCGGTAGCCACGCATTAACTCTTTCACCCATGCTTATCTGAGCTCCTTGGACGGAAAGGTTTCCTACTTCCCATGCGCTCGTGTTTCTTCCAATGTAATACTTAATCAAATAGTATCAATGGATCACAAGGACTCTGAGACCACCTGCGGTCCCTACGTCTCGTAGCTACTTTTTCAGTGCTACGGCGTGCTACTCTCACCTAAGGATCGCCACTTCTGAGGGAGTTTTGATTAACCAGCGAGCGCACAAAGTGATAGATGGGATAAAGAAAAGAGATAGTACCTACAGAATTCGGCAGTGGAACCCCCTTCGCCCTTCAGACTTATTCGACTTACGACCCTAAGCCCTCTATCTGGCTTGTGACTTTACATAAGTGAAATACCTTCTACTGGTCACATACACGCTGCATGATAGCCAGCCTACGTTGTTCATGATTATGGAACTCACCGATACGCAACGGTAAGTCAGTCCCTCCATCCTTTCTAATCCGGGCGAGCCTAGGTGAATCTAGTGTGCCACCGCCGTCTGGCCACCTAGTCTGGTGACCAGGCCATATGGTATTAATGAGGCAGGCCGTCGATAGAAGGCCTCAAACTCAAAGATAAATCAAGTGGCTGGCGCTGCGCCAGCTCCCACATAGACAGCGGTGATTCTAGTCAAACCATGTCCCATGTTTTGTACTGGCCAGGCCGGATTTACTTCTATCCGCTCGGCAACACTTCTGCTATCTGCCTCACAGAGGAATTGCCTCCAGAACGCAAGGCGGATGTGCTGTTCCTTGGTGGTGGAGATCCTAGGAACATTTTGTACACGGTGTACGCTGATGCTTCGCTGTCGAATGGTACGGTCTCGTATCATGCAGTGAATTTTTTTGCCCCTGACTTTAAGAATAATAGAACCTCGCAAACTTGACGTCACCTGCTGCGATTGCGAGGCAGCTGTCCTTGGTAAGTGCTGGCAATTTGAGAAAGTATCACTTTGCCCATGTCATTTTTTAATAGCTCGCAACACGTTACTCTTTACGCTCTTAGTCGACGATGGCGCAGAAGGTAGACTTTCCAGCATCTGGAACGTATTTTATCACATGATGCTGGATGAAACATCGCTCTCGTTGCTCATCGAGCAATGTCGCAAGCTGGTTCCGCTTGCGGAAAGTCTGGATTCGTGGAGACAAGGTCCTTATGCGCACATCGTCAGCATGTGCAACTCAGATACCCTTTCGGAGATTGGTCGATTCTGGAAACTTTGGCTTGGGACATCGAACTTCAATGCTACGCAAGCTAAGCGTTTCAAGGAGAACTTTCAGAATGGAATGAACAGCGTACAGAAGCGATTTGAAGCCAGCATGGTAGTGACTCCTGTGCGTTCAGCGGGACCTCTCGCACAAGTAGCACTACTCGCTGTTTCGGAACCATTCAAGCGGTTTTGGGCGACTGGGGTCACGGACGACGGGTTCCCAGACGTGAAGCCAGCAAACCACCTCAACCCTACCTTCGCATTCTCTCTGTTCGGAGACGAGTTCGCTGTACACTATGGTACAGACCCCCTCTCGAGTTTTCATCTCGCTGAAGCTCTAGCATCTTCTGGTCTGGAGTTATCTAACCAGACAGGGTTGGTAATCCCCAAAATCGTGCGGACTGCTCGCCAGCAGTTTAACACCTGGTGCAAGGCCGTCATACGCCGTATCCACAATACAAGTGCGTCCTCAGCATCCTTGACGGTGCGGATGTATGCTGGCGAGGCACTTGCGTTCTGTCAAGCACTCTATTCTGTTAGCAGGCCCTCCGTGGGGCATACTCCGATATTCATCGCGCCGTGGAGGCGATTAGTGGTACAGCTTGACGACACATTATACTCCCCGAATGCCCATTCGCCTGCTCCGACTTCGTTCAACGTAATCGACACGTCTAATCTCATTGATCATGTCGGATTGTTGAACCTGCTCGCGGTTACCATTCCCCTCCTCTCCGACTCTCCCTCATCAACACTCTACACAGAAGCTCTACTTCCTGTAGGTGATTCACCTGCCCAACGTATCCTGGACCAAGTGTGCGGTAACCTCTCTACCATATCGCTCCTGTTAGGTGTCGTCCCTTCTGCATATATTTCCCGTTTCAACACACGTTCCAACACCTCCGAGACCATGATACAGGCCATCTTGCGCTCTTACACCCAGTATCATGAACGTCTTGCTTGGAAACGTATCAGTTTTGGACATTCCTCCGATAGTTTACAAGAAGCCGAACTTTCGTTTACCCCATCCCAACTGGCCAGAACTCTGTTCGACATATACTCGAGGATGTTCTCTGATCAAGATCTAGGAAAACAGAGGGCCATCATGTCTCTTGATGAATCTCAGATGGCGCAGAAGATACAGTTTTCAGGGATTATCCATTATACCCGCCGCAGCTTTGCTCTGTTGATCGCGCATATCAGCACAAGAGTCCGCTGCGACTGGAACCGAGTCATCAATGATCTAAAGGAGTTGATTCTGAACGACCGTACGCCTATGGGCGGAGGAAATTTTTTTCATGAAATGGCTTGTCATCTGTACCTCGCAGGTTTCCGCCTTCCGTGGTCTAACCCTACCGAAGTACAGAGATGTCGCTCTAATGAAGACCCCCCCATTTTCAGGACGTGGAGCGCGGTTCCCGAAGTCGTAACGGTCGTGCTAGTCGTTCCACGTCACGCTATCGCCAAGATACAATCTGACCTTTCGGACATTGGTACGCCAACTTTGCAATGCGAAATACAATTCAACCTCAATTGGAGTGCCTTCGCATGTATCTCTGCTTCGTTTGGCAAGCTTGAGGTATCAGGCGAGGGCGAGAATAAGGTGGCAGCCGTCGTGGAAGACACAGCTGGGATCAAGGGCATGTCGCCTTTGATCGTCTCCTTTCCTATGCTTTCTATCTCTCTCATGGTTATGTCGGGAGGGACAGTTGGCCTAGTCGTCCGCCCCACTGTCGGAACTGCTCCATTGGTGTCAAAGTTAGGGCTAGAAATGTGCCTGTTCAAGGCTCTGTTGACCGATGGACGATATGCCCATGTCCTAACAAGTGCACCAATATCCGCCAATGATAGGATCAGCTGGGAGCCCCCGCTTGTACCTCCTGAATCGCACGCGATGACTCGGAGACATCCGATCCATGTAGAAATGGACCAGTCCAATACCCAAATACAGTCCCTCACCGCACACATCGACATCGTAGACCCTGTAGGACAGGCTTCACTTTCCAGCGGTTGCGCAGTTACTGTGGAGCAATGGTCTCTGAATAAAGCCAAGATACACGTGGATCAATATCAACATATCATCCCCTTCCCTCTCCCCGTCGACGCAACAAATGCCAAACTTCGCATAGCACGGAAGTCGAAGTATGTCGAGGTGAGGTTCATAGGCACATTCCATGATCCGTGGTTCACATTGGAACAGGTGGTTGCGCCAATGATACTGACACTCAACGTCAAGGAAGAATCCAATATCTCGGAGAATTTCAGAACGGCCTTTGATTGTGGTATTCCGACACTCTGGAGTATGCACCGCTTGAATTTGGACCGTTGCCCGTCCTTCAAGCTCTCCACGAGTCGCAAAGCGTTCGACTGGCTTGGAACCCACGTCCGATTTATGTTTTCGCAAAGGGAGCGCTTGTTGCGTAAACGGCGCGCGTTTCCCGGATCTACTCCTGACACATTTATGAATTTGAAGGACTCCCTCTACACTATTTTCACTTCCACCACCGGATTGGAAGGGCCCATTCATACTGAGTTTACCTTGTGGAACCCTGGAGAGAAAGGATTCTACGCAATGATTCTCGTTACCGATATCCGACTTGATGTTGGCTCCCACACGGTCGTAGCTGATTCATGGATCATACCGGGGTCGAATGGTATTCGGGACAAATTGATGAGAGAGATAGCAGGGAAACTTTTTATCAAAACAGATGCCAACGAATCCGAAGCATGGAGACATTTGCTTCCGTTGTTAATCGAGCGGTGCCGCACTTGGAAGCACAAGTCAAGTTGCGAGTACCTCGTTCATAACTCTATTCCTCTCTACCCAGGTGCTGGGTCGGACGCAAACAAGGTGCCGTGGTGCTCTTGTGGGATGGGCATCGGGACGGAAGTGTTGAGGGAACGGTACGGCAGCGTCTCGGCCAAGTACGCGACGAGGGCAGCAATCAGTCCGTTATTCGCTGTCTCGTATATGGAAAAAATAGAGGTGAAGACAGACGACCCGGTTGACCGCTTGAAAAGGTGCGCCGCGTGTGGAAAAGGGGGCGTTCCGTTGTCTGTATGCTCCAGGTGCAAGAGGGTCAAGTACTGTTCAAAAGATTGTCAAGTAAAGGATTGGAAAACGCACAAGAAGAACTGCGTGATGACATGAGCCCACGGTAACAGCACCCATGTCATCGTTATATTTTGTACCTACACTGTAAACCCATCTTCCGTAACACATCAGGGTTCCATCGCGTTCCGTTCCATATGTACTCTCTTTTCTTTTTTTTCTTTACCACTTATACTGTTGTCTTTCCGTCACTGCGCCAGTGTGAAGTACTGTACTCCTTCCTCGTTCTCATTCATATGAATGGCACCGCTACATACAACATAACACTTGGATTTTTTCCCGCCACTTCTAATCAAACCTCAACAACTTCAAAGTGAAATATCCCCACTAATGCATTCTCAGCATACTGAATAAGTTGGGTCGCAGGTAACTAAGGTTTGTCCCATGTTAAGCGGGCAATTGGGGTCACTGTTACCGTAATCACAGTAGCCCAGGTATTGCCCGTAGTTCTGTCACACTCGTTATTAGATGCTTGTCATCCACAAGAAATATCGGACTGCGTTCGTGCACGCACCCAATAAACGCAGAATGGGCCCGTATACACTTCATTACCCCCGGTATAACTGAACAAAGATACATTTCAGCAACCCTCCCTGGGCCCATGCGATGCGAAATGGGTTACTCACGCGCAAGTGGTCTCGCCCCCGAGACTGCAAATGGTTTGAAGGGACTGGCCATCTACCGTCGCTGGACATGGAATACACGTATTATCTGCGTGCACGTATGCAGCAATGGCAAGGAGAACGAATGTTGTCGTGAGTTGCATCTTTGCACTTTGTGGGGGTTCCTAGATTCAAGTGAGGATTTTATCATTCTTTTATACTTCCAGTTGCATGGATAACTGGTACTTTAAGTCTTATCGAACATTTTGGGCACGACAAGTGACTTGTAACGGTTGGCTTCACCTCCTACGCGTGGCAGTCGTGGCGATAACGACCAAGCCTGAAGAATTCGACTTTCCACGAAGTATGCTCCATCGCATTTCTACTTCGTTACATGGTCCCTAGGTATTTGCAACCAATATTGAGTACGAACCCGTACATTTCAAACTCGAGGATGACGACCTGCCCGATGACGATGGCGTTGCCACGTACACGTGCTTGAGGTAGGTGCTAATTATCAGTCTCTCACCTAACAGACCCACGAAAGGATCACATCTTGGGAAACTGCTCAGCGCCCGGCAGGTTGTACGAGTGAGCTCTGCGCTCCAAGTCGCGATCAGACAAATTGAGGCATCGCCATTCCGGGTTGAAAATAAAACATCGCGCCCAATGCTTTGTGTGTCCCATGATTGATTTGCGTGTTGTGGGCGACACTAAGAGCAGCACGTGTAAAACTAGATAACATATGTTGGACAACCGGATAAGCCAACCCGGCAAATCGTGCTCCTGAAACAGTAGGTTACGGTCAGGACATATTGATATATTGTGTCCGGCACACGTCGCAAGATTTACGTGTCGTTTGGAATGTGGAGATCGGAACGAGATGCGACATGAATCTTTGATGAACGAGACATGACAGCAGGAGGAGCCCACTATCAACGATCTTTCTTTTTCTCTTTACAGCATTGTTTAGGTAAATCCGCCTATTTTTCTGGTCTTCGCTATTCGATGCTATTCGTCTAGGCGCGGAAAATGATCTTAATGCTGTCACTGTCTATCGGCGTTCTTACGCATTTTGCCATCAATTGACAAATTCTTTCGACGTTCCGATCTAGGACAATATGTGCACCAACATCATGTGAGTTTTATTGTTTTCTATTAATGCTTGCTACCCGTGGACCACAGCTACTGGATTCCATGTACCAGCACGGAACATCCTCATGGCCATTTGCCGGATGTTTACGCTAGAGGTCACTCCCTTGCGACTAGCTGGACCTACATGTATCGCCATATGTATAACTGGATAGGCACGATCTCATCGATGGTGGTTAAAGATATAGACATCCACCTGGCCAGGGTGCCAACGCTCAGACGTGACTGGGGCCCATGACTAAGTGTGACACGAGTTGACAACGAGCGTCATAGCTAGCACAGAAGGTGAGCATTACGCTGCTTTAGATGGTAAGTAATCGATTAATGCGTCTTCGTTAGCCTTCGGTAGCCACTTTCGCGGCTTCGCTTGTCTTTATCTGAACTCCTGTCACAGCAAGTCTCCAGCCTTCCAATGATCCCTCGTGTTTCCTCCAATGTAGCGGTTTCTGAGGTCACTCAGGTCTCTGCGTCATACAACTGGTGACAACATGGGTTAGCTGTTTTTCCAGTGCTGGTGAAGGGTAATTCTGTCCATGACAAGGCACGCACAGTACCAAGGGCCGCCAATTCTGAGGAAATTTGTTTAGTTAATTAGTGAGCACGCGAAGTAATAAATAGTATCAAAAAAGAGATGGATAGGTACATAGTAGTACTGTCCCCTGAGAAAAGAAGGGGGGGTAAACCTCTTCGTGTGCATGTCTCATACTCGACTTACGACCTTTTTGGCACTCTAACCATTGTTGATCATCAAAGTGGCTCTGGATCCGCTTCGACGATTCTGGCGGATTCAACAAAACTGTTCATTGTCTGTGCCCAGGATTAACTCCAAAATCAACAAGGGAATCTTCTAAAAGCACACGTCGCAGCTGTGTAAGGTTGCTCCCATGCTAAGCTGGCAATCACCGGCGTTCTGCTACACTCATAATTAGACGCTTACCATCCACAAGAAACATTTCAAGACCGCGTTCGTGCATGCAGGAAATAAAGGCAGAATGGGTTCCCATATCCGTTATGACTGAATAAAGCTACATGTCAGCAACCCTGCTTGGGTCCACAGTGCACCGCGAAGTGGACTGCTTACGCGCAAGTGGTCTCGCCATCGTAACTGCAGGAGAAGACAGGGGTTTGGCAATCCATCGTTTCTGGAAATGCAATACACCGGTCTGCGCGTACAAATGCAATGGCAAGGAGAACGAAATGTTGATGTTGTCTTGAGTTGCATCTTTGCGAGGGAGTTAGTGAGGTCGTGAGGATTTCATCATGCTTTCACAGTATTTCCAGCTGCATGGACGACTAGTACTCTGTCTTATCGAAAATTTGAGGAACGACAAATGACTCGTAGGCTGTAACGGTTCGCTTTAGCTTTTGCACTTGGCAGCAGTAGCAGCGCTTGGCGAACGTCAGGCGGTATCTTACAACCATAGGCTGGGGGGGGATTATCTTGCGGTGGAGTGAGGCGGAACTGTCCACAGATACGACGAACCCACTAACCGGACGCACATGAGAGGAATGACCAAGCCCGAAGAATTTGACTTTCCACGAAGTACGCCCCATCGGATGGTTTGCTTTGGTTACGTGGTCTATGGGCACCTGCAGTCCATATTGAGTATGAACCTGCGGGTTTCATACTCAAGGATGACGAGGTGCCCGATGGTGGTGGAGCTGCCACGTATACATGCCTGAAGTAGGTGCTAATTATCGATTTCTCACCTGATAGAAACCACGACTTAGTATTAACCTCTTGTTATCAGGGTTAAGTTAGCTAAAACACCTTGTTTCTTCGCCAACGCACTCGACTTGTAGCGAATTGTCACACACACCACGCGTGTCTAGTGTAGATGCCGGTTACCTCCGGTAGCAAACATCCATCCGAGCGACAAGCCTGAAGCACTGCCACCCTGCCTTTCTGCATCAGACGAACACCCCCCAACAGACCGTCGCTGCTCCCACTCCAGCTCCTCGCCCAATTGTCATTCCTTTCGATTCACTCGTCGTTCCTTTTATTCCTACAATAACCCAATGCATCAACACCTAGGCCTCCAACTAAACCCTTCGAGCAGTGCACCATATTCTACTACAGTGTCCAGAACTGATGCAGTAGTGCCCCATCAGACCCTTCAGCCGTCGCAGCCAGGGCGCCTGCAGACCAGACAAACCACCAGGAATCAGTCCCAAGCACCACCCCCTCTGCTGCTCATCCAACAACCAACCCAATCTGAGTCATCGGACTCAGTGACAACTCAGCCCCACGCAGCGCAGGCTGCACAGCCACAAGTCCAGCTGACCGCACCAGCGCAGTCAACCAGGCAAGCCAATATCCCCGACCCACTGGCCGATCACACGACAACAAACCTGGACCCCCCAACACCAGCAACATACGAAGCCATTATAGCAGCCTTAATGGATCAGCTCAACAACCGACGCGACCAGGAGCAGCCCACTCCCCCAGGCAACCATAACGCTGGAACTCAGACACCATTAGTGGCCGATGCAATGACCCTAGAGCGAATTCGCGAAGCCGCCACCTCCCGCAAGGAGGATGCCAAACGAATTGTCCTCCCACCAATTCGACCGGGCCTCAAAGTCAGCCCTTTAAGCCTTCGTAAGTCTTGACCTTGTTCCCATGCTATTCATAAACAATGGATTGGTTATCACCTTTGTGCCACCACACCGTTTAACCGTCACCGCACACTGTAACCGTTTTCTGCTCACCGTAATACTGTTTCCACCGTACTGCCACTTTGCTACACTGCCACGACCTTGCCCATTGTTACCTCTGAACCTACCGAGCACAGTCTGACTGGTGCTCCACAGCAATCTCGTCTAGAGTTGAAGAAGCATTCAAAATGTACCGTTATGTACCATACTCCCTCTTAACCCTTTCGGCCCGTGCCAAAGTGAACATGAAAGGCGAGGATGCAGCTTATATCCTCACACCGGAGGGCTTTGCGACAAAGTCACTCGATTGGGCGAATGAACTGTCCATATCTGCTGCAGATTGGATAAATGCTGCATGCACTGCAGAAGAGCGTACTCGCTTCCACCATGGGGAAGAACGTGCCAATGCCCTGGCATCCCACCACCAAGTGGTCACCGGTATCAGTGCATCACACAGCTGGCTAGTGGCCATGCACTATGATATACAACAGCGCAAGATTGCACATGCAAACCCAGAGCATGACCTCACGGGCCTTGACATGGTGGCCTTAACCATTGCAAACAACCGTGCACTCCTCGCTGCGCAGAGCTTGACTATAGCCACCACCACCAAGCACACAGCACCGAATGACCTTCCTTCCTTCCCCTGTAAAAGGCCAGTGCATCCCAACAACAATCATGGTTGTTGCTTTCACTGCGGCCACTCAGGGCACTTACCATCCAGCTGCACAGCCTCATCCACTGCAGCAGGCAAACCAGTTGCAACCCTCGCATCAAATGGAAAGAGCAAACATACCCTTATTGCGCCCGATGGCCGTCACTTCTGCTTCAACTGGGCTGCACACTCCTCCTGCTCATTTGGCCCCGAATGTCGAAATGTGCACAGCTGTTCAGTCTGTGGCGAGTCA